GCTCCTTTAGATTTTATCAGACTGAGTTATTTATGTCATGTTAGTGAACTGTCAGCTCCTTTAGATTTTATCAGACTGAGTTATTTCTGTAGTGTTAGTGAACTGTCAGCTCCTTTAGATTTTATCAGACTGAGTTATTTATGTCATGTTAGTGAACTGTAAGCTCCTTTAGATTTTATCAGACTGAGTTATTTCTGTAGTGTTAGTGAACTGTCAGCTCCTTTAGATTTTATCAGACTGAGTTATTTATGTCATGTTATTGAACTGTCAGCTCCTTTTAGTTTTATCTGACTGAGTTATTTCTGTAGTGTTAGTGAACTGTCAGCTCCTTTAGATTTTATCAGACTGAGTTATTTATGTCATGTTAGTGAACTGTCAGCTCCTTTTTGTTTTATCTGACTGAGTTATTTCTGTAGTGTTAGTGAACTGTCAGCTCCTTTAGATTTTATCAGACTGAGTTATTTATGTCATGTTAGTGAACTGTCAGCTCCTTTTAGTTTTATCTGACTGAGTTATTTCTGTAGTGTTAGTGAACTGTCAGCTCCTTTAGATTTTATCAGACTGAGTTATTTCTGTAATGTTAGTGAACTGTCAGCTCCTTTAGATTTTATCAGACTGAGTTATTTCTGTAATGTTAGTGAACTGTCAGCTCCTTTAGATTTTATCAGACTGAGTTATTTCTGTAATGTTAGTGAACTGTCAGCTCTTTTAGATTTTATCAGACTGAGTTATTTATGTCATGTAAGTGAACTGTCAGTGAGTTATTGCTTGGTGCTAGTGAACTGCCAGGTCTTTTAGTCTTTATCGGATTTAGTTATGTTTGTAATGTTATTCTATTCGGTCCTTTAGGTTTTATCGGACTGAGTTATTTCTGTTATGTAAGTGAACTGTCAGGTCCTTTAGATTTTATCAGACTGAATTATTTTTGTCGTGTTAGTGAACTGTTAGGTCCTTTGGGTTTTATCGGACTGAGTTATTTCTGTCATGTTAGTAAACCGTTCGGTCCTGTAGGTTTTATCGGACTGAGTTATTCCTGTCATGTTTGTGTACTGTCAGCTCTTTCATATTGTATCTGACTGAGTTATGTCTGTAATGTTTGCGAACTGTTCGGACATTTGGTTTTATCAGACTGAGTTATTTCTGTCATGTAAGTGAACTGTTCGGTCCTTTAGGTTTTATCGGACTGAGTTATCTTAGTCATGTTAGTGAACTGTCCGGTCCTTTAGGTTTTATCAGACTGAGTTATTTCTGTCATATAAGTGAACTGTTCAGTCCTTTAGGTTTTATCGGGCTGAGTTATTTTAGTCATGTAAATGTACTGTCCGGTCCTTTGGGTTTAATCGGACTGAGTTATTTTTATCATGTTAGTGATATGTCAAGTCCTTAAGGCTATATCGGACTGAGTTATGTCTGTAATGTAAGCGAACTGTTCGGTCCTTTAGGTTTTATCCGACTGAATTATTTCTGTTATGTTAGTGAGCTGTCAGGTCTGTTAGATTTTATCGGACTGAGTTATCACTGTCATGTTAGTGAACTGTTTGGTCCTTTAGGTTTTATCGTACTGAGTTAAATCTGTCATGTCAATGAACTGTCAGTTCCTTTTGGTTTTATCGGACTGAGTTATTTCTTGATGTCAATGAACTGTCAGGTTCTTTATGTTTTATCGGACTGACTACCCCCTGTCATATTAGTGCACTGTCAGGTCCTTTAGGTTTTATCGGACTGAGTTATGTATGTCATGTTAGCGAACTGTTCGGTTCTTTAGATTTTATCGGACTGAGTTTTTTTGTAATGTTGTAAACTGTTCGGTCCTTTAGGTTTTATCGGACTGAGTTATTCCTGTAAAGTTAGTGAACTGTTCGATCCTTTATGTTTTATCGGACTGAGTAATCACTGTCATGTAATTGAACTGTTCGGTCGTTTAAGTTTTATCGGACTGAGTTGTATCTGTCATGTCAGTGAACTGTCAGGTCTTTTTGGTTTTATCGGACTGAGTTATTTCTTGATGTCAGCGAACTCTCAGGTTCTTTATGTTTTATCGGACTGACTAACCCCTGTCATGTTACTGAAATGTTTGGTCCTTCAGGTTTTATCGGACTGAGATATTTCTGTCATCTTAGTGAACTGTCAGGTCCTTCAGGCTTTATGAGTAATGTCTGTCATGTTAGCAAACTGTTCGGTTCTTTAGATTTTATCGGACTGAGTTTTTTCTGTCATGTTGTGAACTTTTCGGTCCTTTAGGTTTTATCGGACTGAGTTATTCCTGTCAAGTTAGTGAACTGTTCGGTCCTTTATGTTTTATCGGACTGAGTAATCACTGTCATGTAAGTGAAATGTCAGGTTTTTCGGGTTTCATCGGACTGAGTTATTACTGTCATGTTAGTGAACTCTCTGCTCATTTGAGTTTTATTGGACTGAGTTATGTCTGTCATGTTAACGAACTGTTCGGTTCTTTAGATTTTATCGGACTGATTCTTTTCTGTCATGGTGTGAACTGTTCGGTCCTTTAGGTTTTATCGGACTGAGTTATTTCTGTCATGTTGTGAACTGTTCGGTCCTTTAGGTTTAATCGAATTGAGTTATTCCTGTAATGTTAGTGAAATGTCAGGTTTTTCGGGTTTAATCAGACTGAGTTATTTCTGTCATGTTAATGAACTCTCTGATCATTTGGGTTTTATTGGACTGAGTTATTTCTGTCATAAAGGTGAACTGTCATGTTCTTCGTGTTTCATCGGACTGAGTGATTTCTGTAATGTTAGTGAACTGTCCGCTCCTTTAGGTTTTTATTTCTGTCATGTTAAACTACAAAAGTAAAAAAATCAGAAAAGACCAATTTTTGTCTGCATTTTCATGAATTTTTACTCGACATTTTTTCTTTGTCTGAAATATTTTTGAAAATTCTTCACAAAATCTGAATTTGTCTAAAATAAATTCTTGATTTTTCTTGACATATGTCTTGACAGTATTAACATTGTCTAAAAATTTCTCGACACTGTCTTTATCATCTGATAAGTGTCTTGATTAGTCTCGACCAATTCTCGACTGTCTTAAATTTGTCTCGATCAGTCTTGATACATTCTTGACTGTCTTAAAGCTGTCTGAATATATCTCGACACATTCTTGACAGTCTTAAAGATGTCTTGACACTATCTCAACAGTATAAATTTCGCCTGAATTGTGTATAGACACATTCCTGACAGTTTAAACGCTTTCTTTTGCTGTTTTATACTCATTTCTATTATCGCTAAACTAAACTTAAAAGAATTAGGATACAATAATACATTATTAATTATAAAAAGCCACATTTTGGTACAATAATGTTTTATTTACCATATTAACTTTGAATATTATGCTTGAAAAATGAAATATGTCTACAGTATGATTGGTTTCAATCATTTAGCAATCATTTATAAGATTAATAAATCAACATGTGTAATTATTTACAAACCCACATTTATACTGGTTCATATCAACATACTCACATTTGTATTTGTTAATATTTTCATACCCATATTTGTATTTGTAAAAATATTTATATACCAAAATTTTTAATTATAAAAATATTTACATGCCCAACTTTTGTTTTTGTTGTATTTCGTGTAACTTGAAATGACAGTATATTCTATAAAGAGAAATAAAGATAAAGATATATCATGTATATTGGTCATGATTTGTAAAGCTCAGAATTGTAACGTAAATTTAAAACACAATTCAAAATGTCCAGAATATGTCAAGCCATACTAAGAAAAAAAAAAGAATGTCGAGAACCTGTCGAGAAATTTCAAGACAGTATTCAAATGTCGAGAATTTGTCAAGAAATTTTAAGACCATATTCAGAATGTCGAGAATTTGTCGAGTAAATTTCATACAAATTTAATATAAATCAGAAATTGTCAAGAAAAATTAAGACATAAGTCATAATTTTGGAGAATGTCGAGTAATTGTTCATGCAAACTGAGACAAAAATTGGTCTTTTCAGACCTTTGGACATTTGTAGTGTTAGTGAACTGTAAAATCCTTTAGGTTTTATCGGATTGGGTTATTTTTGTCATGTCAGTGAATTGTCCGGTCCTTAAGGTTTTATCGGACTGAGTTATTTCTGTCATGTTAGTGTAAAGTCGTGTAAGTGATCATGTCAGCTCCTTTAGGTTTCATCGGACTGAGTTATTTCTGTCATGTTAAATAATTGTCAGCTCATTTAGACTTTATCGGGCGGAGTTATTTATGTCATGTTAGTGAACTGTCAGCTCTTTTAGGTTTTATCGGACTGAGTTATTTTCTGTCATGTTAATGAACTGTCAGCTCCTTACGGTTTTATCAGTCTTAGTTATTCATGTCATTTAAGTGTACTAACAGGTTCTTCACGTTTTATTGGACTGAGTTATTTCTGTCATGTAAGTCATCGGTCTCAACCACTAAACCACGAACCCACACAGTTCTTAAATTGAATAGATTTTGGTATTTATAATTTATAATTTATCGAAAAAGACAAATATTAATAAACAGAATTTATTTATCTTGTTTTGAAAAGTTTAAAAAATTGAATTACCAATATTAGAACCTTTGAAATTTATATGTGGTATTTGCACTACTTTACTAAATTTACAGATCTAACATTGTTGGGCTGTTAATTAGATGAATTATATATATATATATATATATATATATTAAGGGTATGGATAGAGATAAGTCGACAAGGAATTAGTGTCAAACATGTTAAATCAATAATACATTTGGCGAATAGTTGGAAATTTTTTTCATCGACAAATCCACAACTTGAACTGCCATTTCCAAACAAGACAACAACATGAGCTCGAACCTTAAAAAAACGTAACTAAGTACGTACACAAAGTAAATCAAAAGCTCTCCCCTAAAAACATTTTGAATTGGGTTGATATTTTTTAATATAGATAAAGTGTAAAATCTCTGATATAATCCTTGTTAATAACTCTTATTAGATAAGAAAATGAGAATTGAAAGTTTTTTTTCAATATATGTAGGTACCACAAAAGTTTATGGACATGTATCCAAACGTAATCAATCCTGCACGGCGAAGATATCTAGGTGGGTATTGCTGTAACAAAAGTGAGGAGCCGGTCCAATATGAATTTTGACAAGACTGACGCTTTTTAATAATAGTAAGGAATAAGACATACATTTAAGGGGTTTTTTTGGGTAAATTATTTGATTCTAAATTTCTCGAAAAAAATTTATTGTATCAAAAGGTAAATGCAAGAAGTAGTCTGTTTCCATATTCTCCACTAAAAATTGGGAAAATAAATAAATTCAACGTTGAGTTTCCAAAAAAAAGTTATGGATATTATTATTTTTTTTTTAATTAAAGTCGAAACAAATCGTTTTTCTCGGGAAAAAGTATCATCTTGTTTGGGTTTCTTTTTTATTTTGATGTAATAACACGTTTTTTTTTGTTTAATAGATTTAAACAATTTTAGTAGGACTTGATTCCCTATAGTCTGATACTGTGAATATTCCGTTTTATAACATTGGTTGCAATCAAATCGCAATTTCCCAGTCAAATAAACCATAGATTACCCATACATACGTCGATATCTTGAAAATTTGACAACTTATTTTAAATAATAAGCTGTATATATCTCATTTTTCTCGCATATGCAAATAAAAAATGTATCATACCTGTATATTTAAGTTTTTTCTTGGGCTGTTGATTGTCTTTTGTCATTCTTATTTTGAATAAAGTATTTTCCTTCTATAAAACACGGATTGTGATAACCGTATTATGTCTTTTGGTAGATGCAATTTATTGCTATAATGTATTCAATTTCAGGCATGGTGTCTTCCCTTGACGAAGGTGTAGGTACTATCGCCGATGCCTTAGAGAAAAGTGGCCACATGGATAACACAGTCTTTATTTTCTTGAGTGATGTATGTTTTAACTTAAATTTTGAATAGTTGTTAATATCAAAACAATAATATATACTTATAGGAAGAGTTTCTAAAGTTTGTTATTTCCGTAATATTAGTTATTGAAGTGTAAATTATCTACGGCATCAAGACTGTAGTTTATAGTTAACTCTTTAGCTTTGTTGTATTAACATATATGGTACCGTTTCATTATAATGATTTATATTTTCTACAATATTTTGTTATCAGATAATTATTAATACTTAATTCAATTGTTATATGCAACCATAACGCGCTTTAAAAAGGAATAATTACAAATAATCCGATAAAAAAATTTAAACCATTGTCGTCTGCTTGGAATATAAATGTCTGATCGAATCCTTTGGGTCTTACGATATGTCTTTGACCATGGATATTATTTTTATATAATTAATGCTAAACACGAACTTGTGCTTTAAAAATGTAATGCACGTGTATAAAACAACTTGTTTTAAATATATAACTCGAATAGAACATTTCAATAGTAAAATCGAATAATAGTTCTATTTATATAAAAAAAATATTCCTACAAATTGTGTGTTAGCCAAATACTAATTCTAGCGATAGAAAAGATAAATGAATAAAGTTAGATTGAAAGAGATGAAACTTTTCCTGGATAAAATACATAGTAGAGATTCTGAATTTGTTTTTATTTGGTAATAATCAAAATTATCATTCCAACATCAAGTACATTGTTTTAACAGAACGGAGGCAACACTGACGCTGGTGCAAGTAACATACCCCTCAGAGGAATCAAAGGACAGTTATGGGAAGGAGGATCAAAGTCAGCGGGATTTGTATATAGTCCAAGATTTTTTAAGCAGGAAGGTTGTGTACACGAAGGGTAAGAATCTATGGAAAGCACTTATAAAAACACCGTATTGCACAATGTAATTTTACAGACATACGTCCCAAAATTGGTTTCCGTTCTCTAACTTGAGTTTGTCTCAACCAAATGTAATGAAACTTATACACAATGCTTATTACTACATAATACAGATCAAGTATGAATTTTGGTAGCGTCACTCTAACCGTTCAAGAGTTATGCCCCTTTATAAATGAAAAAATTACAAAATTTTTAGTTTCCGTTCTCTAACTTAAGTTTGCCTCTACTAAATGTTATGAAACTTATACACAATGCTTATTACGACAAAACAAAGAATTTTGGTGGGGTCACTTTAACCATTCTAGAGTTATGCCCCTTTATGAATTGAAAAAAAAATGCAAAATTTTTAGTTTCGGTTATCTAACTTAAGTTGCCTTAACCAAATATTATGAAACATATACACAATGCTCATTTCCACAAAACACAGATCAAGTTGAATTTTGGTGGGGTCACTTTTACCATTATCGAGTTATGCCCCTTTATAAATCGAAAAATTGCAAAATTTTTAGTTTCCGTTCTGTAACTTAAGTTTGCCCCAACCAAACATTATGAAACCTATACACAATACTTATTACCACAAAACTCAGATCAAGTACAAATTTTGGTAGCGTCACTTTTATTGTTTTTGAGTTATGTCCCTTTATAATGTTGTATGCAAGCGGGGGCATCATCAGTGTCCATGGGGACACATTTTCCATTTATTTCTGATCTCATTTTTTAATTTAAAAAAATTATACAAGCTCTTGTAACATATTTAGAGACAACCATCACATATGAAAAAACGTGATTTTTGATAATTGCTGAAGAGACAATGGTGTAGTAAAAAACATCAAAGCTGTGATTAAAGGGGCATAACTATAGAATGGTAAAAATGACGCCACCAAAATTCAATTTTGACCTGTGATTTGTGGTAATAAGCATTGTGTATAAGTTTCATACAATTTGGTTGAGGCAAACTAAAGTTAGAGAACAGAAACCAATTTTAGGATGTACGGACGTATGTACAAGTACAGGACGTACATACTTACAGAAGAACAAGGGTAAAACTTAATACGGTGGGGGCATAACAATGGCAGTATGACGACAGGAATAAAAAGTTTATATACACTAGATTCATACAGGTGCTTATAACCCTGTAACACATTTTAGTTGCTGCTGTGAAATTCAGCATTGAGGCAATAACATTTTGAGATTTTTGGTTTTCAGCCATTCATTTGATATACTAGTAAGCATTGCCTCTGTGTTGAATTGACACGTTGTTAATTATAGGTCAATCTTACAGAATCATACTGACTCAGGAATAAAGTGTGAGAATAAAAAGTTCTGGATCCGCCACTGCATGATTAAGCACTTAGAAAGTCATTTTGCTAGTACATGGACAAATGTTATTTAATCATATAAATAATTTCTGCAGCACTTGTCTTGATACACTGAGTTATTCTAAAAAGTAGAAGCTGACTGGGCTGCTTTAAATACACTTGACTGAACTTTAGCCTTATCTTTGTAACCATTTGTGTAGTTATTAATCGTAACACTGAGGAGGCTGTGATACGAACTGTCGTTGAGTCAATGTTTTTCTGTTGTCAGTTTGGATCCACTTGAGCATGCTGAACGAGTGAAGGTCCTTATATCCGCATTGGAATGTGAAACAGCTAGTATTTAATTAGCGGAATTAAAAGTTTTCAAATGTTTTTTGGCATCAAAACCTTCCGATCGATGTTTTGACAAAAACAATGCACTTTTCTATCAAAGCCGGTATTTACCTTTACTCATACTTGGCGTGTGACATAAGCCATATGATTATCGAGTATTTAATATTCTGTCACCTGTGTATAATTGTTCAATCAAACTATTATCACTTGTCAATTATCCGACGGCTTGGTCAAAATATAAACATGTTGCATTTCAGTAATGTCAGTCATACCGGATTCTTTCAATACACTCAGGCTTTTGCTTATTTAATGATAAACATTTGTAAATATAGTTGGTAGTAAAAATGGCGCGGGAAAATGTTCATTCATGAAATATTGTATACACGGGATGTTTATTCTCTTCAACCGTAGGACGGGAGGAGACCCCAGAAACCGGGATTATTGTACTCCCGTCGAAAGGGTTCATATGTGAGGATCTCACGCATGTCTGGGGAATCCCGTAGGAATGCATACAGGCAACATAAACATACAAAAGTCAAAATGGCTGACAGTTCATTTATAGAGGTCAAACCTAATACCATTTACAAATATAAAAATTGAAAAGATTACGATATTCTTAACAATAAGAATTCTTTTATTTCATGAATAAATGTAAAAAAAAACAACAACACCCACCTCGAAATAAATATCAGGCCCTCTAAATTTTTCTATTCATGAATTAAACGTAGAAACCGTAGATTTCTTTTGATTTTATCTTCAGCGCATTGCAGATCCGCGAAGTAGTGTTTGTGATACTCATTTTCAAAATGAAATTTAATTCATTGTCGGTGAACATTCAGTCCTTTTTTATTCAAGCTATAATCTTATCAAAAGAGTAGTAACTCAAAATTTCAGAAGCATCTTCCTAGATTTAGTTTTCAAACACTAGTACTACATTATCTAGGAGTAGAACACTAAGATAGTCTGTCCACTTCCGGTTTGAGGCCGATGCCATAGGAAAGTATTGCTATAGCAAGCTATATCAAACTTTCCAAAAATTGTATTCAATTTCCCAAAGATTGAGAATTTCTCAATTTTGATACAAATTCTTTTTATGTTTCAATGTTTAGAAGGGGCAATGATTACTATATTATTTTTATTTTCAATTAAATAATTTTGGCTTGATTGGAAAAATCTTCAAAGGAAGGTGCAGTATATTTTTTATTATAGTTTGACTTAATAGTTTCAGAAAAGAGGCATTGAAAATGTACTTTTTCAACAACAAAAATCAAATAACCAATTTTTATCTAAATTGGTGTTCATTCTTCATTGAGAAAATATATTCTTGTATTCAAATATACATGTACAATACCTTACACTGTTAAATAGCCGTATAGTGGGTTAATTGGGAATAAACGAATAAATTTCATTGCAGAAAATCCCGAGGTTAGAGATATGCAATTTGGTTTATTGTTTCAAGTTAATAAATGATAATTGTAATTTAAATTAACATTAACTATTGACTAATACCAGATGATTATAATACTGATCTTATATATATATATATATATATAAGATCAAATGCGTTTTGTTAAAATATACTTTTTCACTTTATTGGTCTTTTGGAAAATGTTGTTTGTGCTGTATTTAGACCCCTCTACCAAGAAATTTGTTTTGCATACACACGTATAACAATTGCGGTTTTTATCCAACGCAATCATAGGTTTGAACGTTGTTTTCAATTTAGACTTGTTTATTTTTTTTTCGTTTGGGCTTGTATTATATTTGCCTTCGGGTTAATATGATCCGTTCATCCTATTTTGACTCTTTCAAAATTCAAGAGTCTATCCTAAATTGAGGTAAATTATATGGCCTTCCAAATACCGTTTCGATTCCTAACTTCACTGAAGAGACATTAATTGTCGAAATCCGGATATGGTGTACAAACTTTTGCACCTCATGTTTGCGGTATACCTTCTTTTCCGCAAGTTTATTGTTTTCTGTTTGGTAATAAATTAATAATAAGATCCATTTCTACATCTGGTGATCCGTTTATTTGGCAATCGCCAATGGCAGTCAGCAGGGTTTAAGAACATCAGTTGTTCGACCTGCTAGTCAAATGCGTTTTGTTAAAATATACTTTTTCACTTTTTTGGTCTTTTGGAAAATGTTGTTTGTTTGTTTGTGCTGTATTTAGACCCCTCTACCAAGAAATTTGTTTTGCATGCACACGTATAACAATTGCGGTTTTTATCCAACGCAATCATAAGTTTGAACGTTGTTTTCAATTTAGACTTGTTTATATTTTTACGTTTGGGCTTGTATTATATTTGCCTTCGGGTTTATATGATCCGTTCATCCTATTTTGACTCTTTCAAAATTCAAGAGTCTATCGTAAATTGAGGTAAATTATATGACCTTCCAAATACTGTTTCGATTCCTAACATCACTGAAGAGACATTAGTTGTCGAAATCCGGATATGGTGTACAAATATTTGCACCTCATGTTTGCGGTATACCATCTTTTCCGCAAGTTTATTGTTTTCTGTTTGGTAATAAATTAATAATAAGATCCATTTTTACATCTGGTGATAGTTTTATTTGGCAATCGCCAATGACAGTCAGCAGGGTTAAAGAACATCAGTTGCTCGACCTGCTAGTCAAATGCGTTTTGTTAAAATATACTTTTTCACTTTTTTGGTCTTTTGGAAAATGTTGTTTGTGCTGTATTTAGAAGGGGCAATGATTACTATATTATTTTTATTTTCAATTAAATAATTTTGGCTTGATTGGAAAAATCTTCAAAGGAAGGTGCAGTATATATTTTATTATAGTTTGACTTAATAGTTTCAGAAAAGAGGCATTAAAAATGTACTTTTTCAACAACAAAAATCAAATAACCAATTTTTATCTAAATTGGTGTTCATTCTTCATTGAGAAAATATATTCTTGTATTCAAATATACATGTACAATACCTTACACTGTTAAATAGCCGTATAGTGGGTTAATTGGGAATAAACGAATAAATTTCATTGCAGAAAATCCCGAGGTTAGAGATATGCAATTTGGTTTATTGTTTCAAGTTAATAAATGATAATTGTAATTTAAATTAACATTAACTATTGACTAATACCAGATGATTATAATACTGATCTTATATATATATATATATATATAAGATCAAATGCGTTTTGTTAAAATATACTTTTTAACTTTATTGGTCTTTTGGAAAATGTTGTTAGTGCTGTATTTAGACCCCTCTACCAAGAAATTTGTTTTGCATGCACACGTATAAAAATTGCGGTTTTTATCCAACGCAATCATAGATTTGAACGTTGTTTTCAATTTAAACTTGTATAAATATATATATATATATATATATTTATTCTCAATTAACCATCATTTTGACAAGGTATAGAGAAATACATATATACAATATATACAATATTTAATAAATACAATTAGTACAAGACATTTTATCAACAATAACAGTGGTGGCTTCACACTAGATTAAGCCTGGAATACACACATATTTATTTTTGATTTTGGTAAATTTGCAATTTTATTAAGCTTTGCTTTCTTTTTTGATGACATTAATAATTTATACGTTAAGATATTTGGTTTGGTGTAACAATATTTTTGTATGTTATTTTTCCTCTCCTGTTAAAAAAATGGACATTCCAAAATAAAGTGAAATTCATCCCAGATTTCATTTTTTTTTACACAGTGTACAGTTTCTATTTTGTCTGTTGGTGTTATACCATCTACCAGCTTCAATAGGTAATTTATGATTTGTCGTTCTAAATCTGCAAAATTCTACAAGATTTTTGTTATCTAAAATATCTAAATAAACTTCCGAACTAAAATTATCTTTAAATACTTTGTAATTTACAGCTTTGGGTGATTCTTCTACCATTAAGTGCCAATTCTGTTCAAATTGATCTTTAAAGTAAAGATAAAAGTAAAATAGACCTTGCTTGCATTTTTTCATACATATTTTGTTTATTTTTTTTGTCTTTTCTTTGAAGACACATGCATCGTTTATCCTTAATCATTCATCTCTGATAAATAATTTACAGAATAATGTTATGTAGTGTAGATCAGAAGTGATTATAGGTCTACTATCTAGGTCAATATTATTGTGCATTCAATTATGCAAATAATGAAAGTATAACTACTGTATTATATCAGCACTCTTATTTGCCTAAGAAAAGAATTGGAATAATAGCATTTCAAAAAATTGTTGGAATCAACTTTGATATCAATACACATCTTGTACCATTGTTATTCAATTACTTACACAAGCATAAGATACTGATAAAATACTTTCATAATTATTATCAACTGATTAAATTTGATATATTACTTTTTCAAATTATTTCATAAATAGTAATTCATTACAAATGTTGTTTTACAACCGAACTATATGCAAGTGCATATATAAAATAAAGGAGCTGTTCGTCCAATATTTTCTTAATTTAAGGGCAAATAACAAGTCAAAAGTTGGCAAAAGATGTTTACAATGGTGTATAAAGTTTCTGCAAGTCATAAAAACACAGAATTAGTTTCATGATTTATAATCAACAAAGAATTCTGCAACATCTCCAAATCCAGAGTGATCGCATAGATCCAGCATGGCTGAATCAAAAACGGAGATGTAGAAAGATTTAAAATTAAACACCTATTTTAAAAAAACGAATGATTAGTATGTAACAAATTATAGGTCACCGTACGGTCTTCAATAATGAGCAAAAGCCATACCGTAAATTGAGCTAGAAAAGACCCCTGGAATAAACGTGAAACAATTCAACAAGAAAATAATAACTGATAACAGTAAACGTAAAACAATTAAGGCGGACAGAAGAATTATCACGATCGGAAACAAGATTTTGAATTGTTGACGCCCCTTGAAAGTGAAACCTGTGCGTGAAAACATTTTGTCATACGTTTCATGTTTTTTTGTTGTAATATTGTCTATTTAAGAGGTTAATCCCTCAGGCTGCATCCACCCTATTTAATTAGTCTTCATATAAAAGAGTGAGACATCGGTCACTACAGTTAATTTATTTTTACAGAATGATTCATGCTGTAGATTGGTTTCCAACTATTTTAGACATGGCAGATTTTAATAAAGGTATGCTCTTGATGTGTTATTGGTTATTAGTGTTCTTCGGTTGCAATGTCATTGACGTTTACCAAACCTCCTTCTCCCTTAATGCATCTACATCTTAAAATTGCCTCCTTAATTACATCCATTGAAATAATATAGGTCGTACAAACAACAAAAAACTATAATTTTAACAATAACAACTGCAATATTAGTTCTAACAAGGTACAAAGTACTTCGCAGTATCATCAACATTACGTCACATGAAACAGTATCATCAACATCACGTCAACATGAAACCGTATCATCAACATTACGTCAACATGAAACCGTATCATCAACATTACGTCAACATGAAGCAGTATCATCAACATTACGTAAACATGAAGCAGTATCATCAACGTTACGTCAACATGAAGCAGTATCATAAATTACGTCAATATGAAGCAGTATCATAAATAACGTCAACATGAAGCAAGAATTGTTGATCAGGTCTTGAATACACATACCTTAATTTTTCAGTATTAAATATCTTCTCCTTTTCGGGATATATTTCTAATTCTGTATCTCATTCTAACCAATATAATCATAGCAACATCATAAGTAAACCAATCAGAACCTATATTTGTTAAGTTATAACTCAAGATGGCAAGAATATTGAGTGAAACAAAAATGTTCACATCATGGTGCGAATGTGGAGCGTATCAACTACAACACTTTTGATATTAGCAAAATGAAATTAACAGCAAAAATACCAAGTCTAACAACAACAAACAATAAACTACGATAGTAAAAATATTATGTATAATTTGGAATCATTTAAGCATTATAATGCAGCAAAATATTATATGTAATGAATTTCTGAAGAAGAAAAAAATATTGTTTGGGGATAAAATTTTCTCTAAATTTTGTCTTATACCATATCCTGTTATATTGGGGGGCGGTTTCAGACAACAAGAGAAATATGTGTGATAAAATTGATGGTGTCAGTCAGTGGAAATATATACAGACGTGTCAAGGATCAGGTAGAGAAGAATTCGTGTACCAAATAGATGATTATGTGGCCAAATCTGCAGCAATAAGGTATGCAATCAGTTTTTTTTTTTTTTTTTTTTTTTTTTTTTGCTGTAAGGAAATGTGTTCTTAAATCTTTTCTACTGTAGACGTCATTATTTTACGAACTTTTTTTATTTAATTATTTTTTAATATTCGTTATAAATGAAAACGAAATACATTGCTACGACTCACGGAATAAAACATACACCGTCTCATAAAATGTATAACAAATTCATGAGTTAACGACACCTTCTCCTCCAAATCATAAACTAAAAAACAAATCATACGTTTACTTAGGATTGAATAACTAGCATTTTTGTTGGGCAAAACAAAACAAATTAATATGCATGGGTGGGTGCGCATACCTTGCTGCACAATAAAAAATTAAAAGGGTCAGCTTAAAAAAAAGACATGAAAGGAAATTGTATAATTTAAAATGCAATTTACAGGAGAAAATATAATTTTGATAATGCACTATTTGGATCTATCCCTTTTTGTAGAGTTGGAGACTACAAAATGATTGTCGGGGATCCACGTGTTGTCGATTTCTCATTCGGTCCTAGTGGAAACATTTCATTAAAACTAGTTGATCCAAACAACAAGGACATACGCTTATTTAATTTAAAGAGTAAGTATGCACAAAAAGAAAACGATAGTCTACAGTGTTAATAAAAGGTGCAGCTCACCAAACAAAAAAATTTTAAAATGCAGAATTACACGCCTACAAATCGCCCTTCAACAAACAGAAGATTCGTTTATGAAGTAAGGGTAGCAAAAATAAAAATTGGTACTACGTCTTCAAGTTGTATATTGCCTTGACCACTGTGACATGGTCTGGTTAAGTTTCTAGGTAGCTTTACACGATAGAAAATGTTTTAGTATATAAGTTAGTTGTCTGACATTTGCCCTTGACCTCATTTTCAAGATTAGGTGTGATCCTCAGTAGTTATACATAACAGTTCTACTAAACGTATTTAATGTGGTAAATATATACATACGTCGTACGGCCTTGACCTTATGGTAAGTATATGTCAATAAGACATATGTCGTATGACATTGACCTTATGGTAAGAATATGTTCATCAGACATATGTCGTATGGCCTTGACCTTATGGTAAGTATATGTCCATCAGACATACGCCATATGGCCTTGATCTTATGATAAGTATATGTCCATCAGACATGCGTCATATGGCCTTGATCTTATGGTAAGTATATGTCCATCAGACATACGTCATATGGCCTTGATCTTAAGGTATGTACATGTCCATCAGACATACGTCATATGGCCTTGATCTTATGGTAAGTATATGTCCATCAGACATACGTCATATGGCCTTGATCTTATGGTAAGTATATGTCCATCAGACATATTTCATATGGCCTTGACCTTAAGGTATGTATATGTCCATCAGACATACGTCATATGACCTTGACCTTATGGTAAGTATATGTCTATCAGACATATTTCATGTGGCCTTAACCTTATGGTATGTTATATAGATACAATGGATAAGCGTGGATTCTTGATAAAGAAACCATGAGCCCGGAGGGCGAATGGTTTGTTTTTCATGAATCTACGCTTATCCATTGTATCTATAACTTAAACTATTGTGTTAATTTCTTTTCAAAATTAAAGCCTTTTCTTAATTAGAAGGTATTGTAAGTGACTTTAAATAACCATGTTATCGTGTCCAACGATGCATTGATAAATCTCAGATCACAATTAATTGGTTAACAACATACAAATATAACACTTCTACCTTTAAAGATCTTTATATTACCAGGCATATGAATATTATCTGTTTATACAAAATAAGACATATTCGAAATTATTTCTAATAAAATTGAAAATGGGAAATGGGGAACTTGTCAAAGAGACAACAACCCGAACAAAAAGCATATATAAAGTATATATAATAAGTATGTTATCGAAATTTGTCTACCACTCTAGGCACATCACGATTTTCTCGCATAGGAATTTGCGAACAAACTTTTTTAAAATTATGTAGTAAAACAGATGAAATCATAATATATTTATAAAACAAAAATTGACAAATAGAATGTAATCATTTTTGTTTCAAACATGTAGCCAATACTAATAAAAAAAACGGTAAAACTCGCTATTATTACAAAAATATCCACTATAACATGCAAATTTAGAAAAAAACAGGATAACTTAAGAATTCGAACAACAGAGAGAATACAGGGATTCGAACCTAAACCGACAAATCCCTATCTTTAACTCATTGATTTTAACCATGCTAACCTCGCGGCTACCAACTCATACTATACGACTGCCTATTTTGTCTATATAAAGGTACAAGCCCTGTGTGTCCGATGAACCAATGTATATCAGATGTTCATTTAAATATATAAAATAGACATCTATAGTGTAACCCATTGGTAGCCGAGAGGTTTCGTCGATGTGTTGATGTCAGTCACACATAATAGATTTCAAGGAAGGGTTCGATTCCCAGTGAAGGCATATAAAAATTACAAAAACTAAAGGTAAGTTTTTAAATTAATTCCATTAGTGAACAGAAATCAGTAAATTAGCCAATTCAAACTTAATGAAATTAGGCACACAAAGGAAACAATTGAATATAATTTAGTGAGTCAGTTTCAGAGGCAGATTTAGGACGCGTTGATTCTAGAAAAAGAATCCACGGTAAATGAATAGGCTGACGTCACCACAATGGTTTAAGTATATATAAGATAAGATGTTGTATAATTGCCAATGAGACAACTATCCACTAAAGTTCAAATGAAGTGGATGTAAACAATTATAGGCAACCGTACGGCCATTTGTCAGACATATGTCACATGGTTATGTTCGAATAGTTATAAGTTTTCAGGATTGGGTCTGTTCCTTGGTAACTAGGCAGTACAAGACTGTTCCTCGGTACCTATAAGGAAAAGTTAACAATAATATAAATGTGTATTCTTTATTATACCCCACGCAACGAGTTGCGGAGGGTATAATGTTTTTGACCCGTCCGTTCGTCTGTCCGTCCGTCTGTCTGTCCGTCCGTCAGTCCGTCAGTCCTGTTTCTTGTCATCGCAACTCCTCTCAAACTACACAACAGAATTTTACGAAACCTTTTTAGATAATAAGGACATATTATGTAGTTGTGCATATTGACAGGAAATTACGATTCAATTCTTTTTCTAGGAGTTACGCCCCTTTGAACTTATTTACTTTAATGTACTACTGCAACAGTTTGTCATCGCAACTTCTCTCAAACCACACAACAGAATTTAATGAATCCTTTTCAGATAATAAGGACATACTACGTATATGTGCATATCGACAGGAAATTACGATTCAATTTTTTTTCCAGGAGTTACGCCCCTTTGAACTTATTTGCCCAATATACTACTGCAACCTTTTGTCATCGCAACTCCTCTCAAACCACACAACAGAATTTCATGAAATCTTTTCAGATAATAAGGACATACTACGTAGATGTGCATATCGACAGGACATTACGATTCAATTTTTTTTTCCAGGAGTTACGCCCCTTTGAACTTATTTGCCCAATATACTACTGCAACCTTTTGTCATTGCAACTCCTCTCAAACCACACAACAGAATTTCATGAAACCTTTTCAGATAATAAGGACATACTACTTACATGTGCATATCGACAGGAAATTACGATTCAATTTTTTTTCCAGGAGTTACGCCCCTTTGAAATTATTTGCCCAATATACTACTGCAACCTTTTGTCATCGCAACTCCTCTCAAACCACACAACAGAATTACATGAAACTTTGTAGATAATAAGGACATACTATGTAGATGTGCATATTGACAGGAAATTATGATTCAATTTTTTTTTCTGATACAATTTTTTTTTCTTACACTTATTTTATTTCTCCAATGACAATGTGGGGACGTGGGGTATGTGAGCGTGCTCACTAAGGTTCTTTCATTACGAATGTTAGGTCCATCCTATATGATAGTATTGGCCCTAATTTCACGCTCCAGTGATTAACTTGGGCAAAATAATGTTGGGCTTCAAGGATTAGGTATGTCAGTATTGCATAACAGGTGATCAATACTTGAAATGTGGATTGAAATTCTAATTCTAACATTCTGTATGAGAAACATTATGTCCGTCAGACAAATATCATTTGAACTTGATCTCATTTTTTAGCTCACCTGGCCCAGAGGGTCTAGTATAAAAATCTTTCCGATGACCCCGTCCATCAACCAAGATGGCCGCCATGGCTAAAAATAGAACATGGGGGGGGGGGTAAAATGCAGTTTGGCTTATATCTCTGAAACTAAAGAATTTAGAGCAAATCTGACTCGGGAAAAAATTGTTCATCAGGTCAAGATCTATCTGCCCTGAAATTTTCAGACAAATCAGACAAATTTGTTAAGCAAAGTAAGTTCTACAAATAAGTCTAAACATGACCAAAATTGTCAATTGACCCTTTAAGGAGTTATTGCCAATTTTTCACAATTTTTTGTAAATTTTTGTAATCTTTTACAAAAAAATATTCTCCTGAAATTACTGGGCCAAGTTAAACCATACTTGGTCTAAATCATCCTTAGGGTATCTAGTTTAAAAAATGTATCCAATGACCGCGCCCACCTACTAAGATGACCGCCATGGCTAAAATTTAAACATAGAGGTAAAATGCAGTATGCAGTTTTTGGCTTATATCTCTGAAACTAAAGTATTTAAAGCAAATTTAACGGGGTTCAATTGTTTATCAGGTCAACATGACCAAAATTGTCAATTGACCCCTTAAGGAGTTATTGCCCTTTAAAGTCAATTCTTCACTATTTTTCGTAATTTTTTTTTTTAATCTTTTACAAAAATCTTCTCCTCTTAATCTACTTGGCCAAATGGAATTAAACTTAGCCATAATTTTTATTAGTGTATCTTGATTTAAAAATGTATCCGATGACCCTGTCCTACAACCAACATGGTCCCCATTTGTAAAAATAGAACATAGGGGTTCACTATAGAAGTCTATGGGGAAAATGTAAAAAAACAATTTCAAATGGTCACAACTTGAAAACTCATTTAAATGTTTACTTATTTGCACATTTTGTTTTGCTAATCATTTTGGCTTTTTAAAGTTTCTATCTATCTTTTATAGTTTTTAAGACATTAAATAAAAACTGGAAAAAAAATGATAAAAAGCGGCATTAAAGGGCAATAACTCCGATAAGGACTTATTGTCAAAAACTTTCATAAACATTAATGAAAGTGAAATAGTGAAATAATAACTCGCTTTTAGCAGCCAGTTTGGTTCAATTTTGTCAAAATAAGCTAAGAAACATCGCTGATAAATTATTCACTTGCAAGTAAGTAAATAATTCGACCTCACTGCATCCGTATTCATGTGACCTTCAATTTAACCCCTTAGCTAGAGATTGGTTACGCATGAATTAATCGTGTTCTGTTATTAGACCTTTTCAACAATTGTCTACACCTACAGTTGAGAACGACTACGACAGGTCAGATATGAGGGGTCGTCTCAAAAAATAAAATTGAAAAATTATTATTGATCGCATATGATTATTTTGATTGCAAATGAGACTACTATCCAACATGACGTGTATAAAAGCAATTGTTGTGTACCGTACCTTATTTTGTTTTTTAAGTATTTACTTATTAAGATTAAACTTATTTGTGAATTGACTGTGAAGAAAAGGAAGGACTTCGATATTTCATTTCTTTTAGACGTAGAGTTGGAAAATAAAAAAACAAACTGAAAACAAACTGAAAACAAACCTGTATGTTTGTATTAGATGTGTTATTAATCAACGTTTTATGTCTGTTGACTAGGGCGGTACATGTTTTCTACAATGTCTGTTATTTTTGGCTTCGAATGCCTCAATGATACTCATTACTTTATATCTATTTAATTCATCAATTTGAGTTCAACTTGAAATCGATATTCAGCGACAATGCAATTTAAATTTCGACTATTTCTCTTTAAATTATCCGGTTTACTGTGCCGTCGATGGACCTGCTCCTCGGCAACTAGATGCCGTAGCTGACCAGAGAAAGGAGGAAGCTGATGAATTGCCTCGCCCTAATGTTGTACGACCAAAACAAACTTAAAGCAAAATAGCGCCCACAAATGAACCTCATTCGCGAGAATCAGCCGGAGTACAATAAATTCATAACAAAATAGGTACCAAGATTTTTTAAGGCCCTTGGTGTCTCTTCTGATTAAGATTCAGATTCAAATCGTAAGCTTTTTTTCGTTTTCTTGTTATTTTTATGACTTCCGAAATAGGAAAAAAATAAAACAATGCAACATATAAAACAGACATTCAGAATTACAGCATGGTCTCAATTTGCTTAAAGACCACCATCCCCAACCCCAAAAAAGAAAAAAAGGAAACAAAGTTACTATCTTTGATCGAATAAAAAGGAAATAAATATAAGAGCATTGAAGAGCGAAGCATAATGTCAAAATATAAAATTGTCAACTAAAAATTCTATTGGGACAAAAACTTACCAATTGCAATGACCAAATTGTTCAGGTATTGCTTCAGGCGCATAAAACCTCCTCTATATATGGTCAGAGATGAAATTTTAAAGCCATTATGCATGAAAAAAAAATTGAAAAAAGTAGAATACCAAAGCAATGTCCTGAAAAGAGTAAGGGTAAGCAGTTCTCGCTTCTTGCAAGACACACGAAGGTCATTTTTCGGAAACAAGGAAAGGAATCTACGACAAAGTGACAAGGTATGTTGTCTTGCGGGACACGGACAACCTATAACGGTCAATCAGCTCGGCACTGTCCAAAAGACATTGCAATGACAACAAGTTCTGTTGAGATATGAATACCATACGCATCACTGAAGAGACATTAATTGTCAAAATGTGCATGTGGCGCAGACAAAATGGTGCCGTTAATGTTTCCAGTTCATTAAGGAAACATCACAACAATAACATGGTATCTTCAAGCGAAGTAGTCCCTCGTAACAAAATTATCGATGAGGCCTTTTCCTTTGACCTTTAAACCAATAGGCTTTTACCCCTCCCAAAATTGAATGTGTTCAACAAGTGACGTGAAGATCGGTTGAGAAACACAAACTCTAGCGGACGGACGGCAGTCCTGTTACAATGTTCCTTCCGCAAATTTCATAAACAGTATTACAAAAACGAATTAATCGCTATTGGTATGTGGAACAATCTGCGTTGACAGACTCGCTTATCTAAACACTCACATAATCATAAAATATAAGAAGAAAAAAAGGCAGATTACGATGTGAATTGATTGCAGTAATTATTTACTTGAAGGTTTAATAAATTCAACGTAAAATGTCGTTTGAATACAAGTAATTAGAATGTAATACAAAAAAGAGATAGAGATATAATTCATATTTGTTTAAAATGTTCTTTCGTCAAAATAGTGTAAAACGATGAATCAAAGGTGTAAACGTAATACTATTCATGAATGGTTGTTAATTTTGAGAAGACCCCTTCATTTTACCTGTAAACTGTAGGTGTCATTAGTCGGTAACGAGAGTTGTTGAAAAGGTCTATTAAAAGGAAAAGAATGTCAACATTGAAAGTGAAACAAGCGTAAACCATTTGATTGACTAATTAGATAAAAAAAAAACTCATTCTCATACAGGTAAACACGATGATGCGTTGCGTCGGAGACAAAAAAAATAAGTATCATCAGAAAAATCCAAATAAAGTCCTTTGGATCCAGATCAATCGACTGATAGTAATTTTAATGTAAAATAGAAAGAGAAATGTTTTTAAAAATTGAATTATAACATTAGATAGTTTATATTTTTGTTTACTCCATTTGGGCCCAGTATAGCATCTTCTTATGATTTCAGATGATCCTACCGAGAGTAACAATCTTGCTTCTAGATTACCCGACAAAGTGAAAAAGATGAAGATTAGACTGGATGAATTGAGAAAAGACAGTTTGCCAATAGAATTTCCTGTGTGGGAATCGAATGAAATAGGAAGTCCTAATAATATTGTCAGTACCGAATGGTGCTCTGTTTGAGTTAAATAAAATATGAAAGTATTCATTAGTATAATTAATGGCTGTTAGCATGCATCACTAGGTACCACATAATAGATTCCAATCCAAAAATCAAAATCCAAAGACATTACATTAATAATCAAATGTAAGAAGAGATATATTTGAGAAATAAAGAAAGACTTGTTTGAAAAAAAAAGACATTGTTGGATATGTGCTAACCTCTAGATGTCATGTGGGTCGCTTTTGGTTGCTGGGTTGCTGTGTAATTGCTGTCCGTCCCATACCTTTCTAATATCATTTTCAAATCAAAAGACTATCTCAAAAGTCGACAGGTATGGCATATGTTGGAACCTCAAGAGTTGGCAAAAAACCACGCCCTCTGCATATAAATGAACTTTTGTAACAACTCACTGAGGGATCAATAGGTGGTGTGTTGCCAGTTTAAATTTCTGTACCTATCCAACATGGCCTCATTTTCCAGTGACAATCCAACTTTCCTGCTCCTCTTCATCTCGGTCAAACATTGCAGAACCTAGCTATTGTATAAATTAATAATTTGCTCTTATTCCGACCATGCATGAAGTATTTGCCACAGGACATTAAGGGAAACAAATATCAATCAATCATCCATATCTGTTAGCTTATTATAGATAATATTATGAAAACCTTAATTAAAAACAGATCTTGAAGTAACAGTTACCTGAAAATGATCTTGTTGATCTTAGGCATACCTGATTTGGAGAATTTGGTAATGTTTGCAGATCTCCGATGTCTCTGTTTAATTTATTCACAAAAAAGTTTAATTGGGTGATTCAGAGCATGACTATGCGGTATGGACTTTGCACATTGTTGAAGGTCGTACTGTGACCTATAGTTGTTAATTTCTGTGTCATTTAGTCTTTTGTAGAGAGTTGTCTTATCGGCAATCATACCACATTTTTTTAATTTTTATATGACGAATTGTACAGACATCCGTCTATTGTTGACCTCAAGAGATCTTTTGGTTTTTTAGTCTTTTTACTGCTACCTCACTGCAATAGCCCCGCATATCATCTTATGTATATACTTGCACTGAAGTTTGGTTCATCCAATTTAACTTTTCAAATGTCTAATATCTGGTCTATGAATATAAAACCCTGTTCCTGGTACAAAGAAGTCTTAGAACATTGAGCAGAAAGAAATAGGGTAGGTTAGGGGAGGGTTGGACACCAGTATACCTGTAACGTTAGTTTGGATTGTTTTACATTTGTCATTTCAAGGCTTTTAAATATTGCTATGTGGTAAATATTCAACTCATGGTTGAAGGCCCTACAGTGTCCTCTATTTGATAACTTCCAGGTCATTTGGTCTCTGGATTTGAGTTGTCCCATTGGCAATCATACTACATTTTGTTATCTTTATGAAGGTAGGTAAAATGAAAAGTTATTTGCATAGACCGTAGTAGTTGTGTTATAGGCATACTTGCACAGAATTAGCAATATTAGCAATACAATGTGAGGAATGTTTATAGTCAAGAGGACTGTAGCAATAATGGTGGAGGAATGTACAACGTTGCGCACAATGATAGAAGAATACAGCAGTACAAAAGAAAAGAAATAATTTTCTACTTATTATATTTGCAACAACTCCCAAGCTAAGCATATGACTAGTTTGAATGCAAAGTATATAGACATGATTCCAAGAATATACTCCGTTGAAGATATTGATTCAATAAGGGGGCATAGTATTGCAGGCATTACGTTTAGAACTTCAAGACTGAAGTCTAGTTTAAGTTCTCTGTATGCAAATTATGACTTTCACTTAGACATGGTGAACGTGTTGGTAATTATCGTCCTCCCTTCAGTGAAAAGTGTAACACTAGCCATTACTAACTATCTATATGTTTGTGAATCAAATAAGACACAAAGTGCTACAGATTGTATTAGATTAACCAACCACCCAGTAGATAATAAAAACAATACAATTCATCCATATGCGACTATATTCAACAATTTGAACTTCCACAGGATTATAATGCGACTGTGTGTCTGTTTCAGAGTGAAGTATGGGTTGATCTTAGACAATTTATTAGTGGACACCCAACAATCAAAGGACCTTATTTCAATACAAGACAATGGCAATACTTTAAGAGACTGAAACCATACATTGATAGTTCTATCTCTAATGCACTTATTTAGAGCAATCCATCAGATTTGTGATTTCTTTCATCAATTCAGTTCAGTGAATAATCACTGGGTTTTAAATTGTCAGTCCAGCAAACCTTCTCTTGGTTTTAAATGGCTAGTTAAAGGTCACAAGTTTGTCCATTCAATATGCTAAAATCGAGGTGTAGAAGACTTTCTCCTGATGTTTTTAAACAGAAACAAACTTATGAACAAATTATTTCTAGATTTTTTAAGATAATGAAAAGATTCTTTTCAAATAACAATTTTAAAATCATAATATCAAATCAGCTAACTGCTGTATATATACATACAAACACATCATTCAACATTATCAGCAGAAAATATTCATTGTAAAAATATATAAAAGTTATCCTGATACAATTAAAGTATCTAAGTGGTTAATTGAAATCATATTCCAAAATAATATTTACTGAGACATTTCAAAATTACTAGGATTTTAGAAATATTGTGTTTACCACATATAACATACAGAGGGAACAAACATTTTCCGTTAAAAATTAATAATACTGAATTCTTAAAAAGATGGAAAAACATGTGTATATCAATCAAGAAAATGACATAATATTTCTCATAAAATATAAAACAACAATACCATTAATCAAATAACAATTTAGTAACAAATCAGCTAACTGATGAATATGTTTATATCACCAACACAACCATTAGAAAATATTTATTGAAAACATATGGAAATGTGGCCGGAATATAAAAATACATTTAATGGGACACAAACCTGAGCAAAAAACAAAGTTATAATGATTCATTTTAATTAAAGAATTACGATTGGATGGAAAATACTTTGAACTTAATGTGGTAGATAACAAGGAATAAAAAAGTGAACATACTGTTTAATGCATCTGCAAAGACTTCTACACATAAATGTTCTTATAACATAGCCATTGTTCTAACAGGTGACAATAATATAAACTATCTAAATACCTAATTAATAACTATACACATACATATAAAGAAAGAACCAAATTAGATTTGAAAATGTCAAGTTCAACATTCAAATATGAGTATGATTGATTATGCTATAGATGCAAATATAACTTGACTTTAATATATCAAAATGAAAACAATATTTGCCTGAGCGATTTTTTAAATGTCAACATTGGATAATGAAAAGCACCATGATTTTTGTAAATATAATAATAAGAGCAATGAAAAACAAAATGGTTTTGGAAATATAATAAAAAGAGCAATGAAAAGCACCATTATCTTTGTAAATAAAATAGAAAAACTCTTGTTAACTTGCTATATTCAAAACGACAATGAAAAGTCTGTCATTTAAATCTTTCGGTGAATGTTCACTGAGCTTGATTTTAGTATAAATACTCTACCCCTCCCCTGAGCAGATCACATTCTTGTTTTCATAAAAAGGAACTGTACTTCAACTGTAAAAATGGATCTTGCTATTGAAATTGCCAAGGAATTGGAATAAATGTCAAAAATCAAATGGGTAGACTGCAGACAAATACCGCGCTCGGTCTGCACAGAACATTCAGAGTGTAGAAAGGAAATGGGGACTATTTCAAGCTTTACAGATTCAGTAAAATATTAGTCGGAATATACCATGACATTTTGCATGGAGAATTGCAAAAGTCAGAGTCATCGTTGTACTATGCTGACAATTCCATAGTACTTGGACTTTTAGTGCTAGCTGATAAAGTTGCAAATGTCAGCATTTTGCAAATGTGTCACAAGATACAACATACAAGGTGAGCATTTTTTTTTTTTATATTTGATCATGATAATGGTCCGGCTTATTTCTCCTCCTGTTTGAACGCATTAGTGGTGCTGAAGGGGGAGGTGCTGGTGGTCAATTTATTGTCGAAGGTTGAGGTGCTGGTGGTTTATTTACGGCCGGGGGGGAAGGTGCTGGTGCTCCTTTAATTACAGGTTTGAGTGGTGCCGATGGTTCATTACTAACAGGCGGGAGTTGTGCGGGTGGTCCATTAATTACAGGTGGGGGTGGTACCGGTGCTCCATTAATTACAGGTGGTAGTGGTACCGGTGGTCCGTTGATAACAGTTGGGAGTACCGGTGGTCCATTAATAACAGGTTGGAGTGGTACCGGTGCTCCGTTAATTACAGGTGGCAGTGGTACTGGTGGTCTATTAATAACAGTTGGGAGTGGTGCCGGTGGTCCATTAATAACAGCTGGGAGTGGTGCCGATGGTCCATTAATTACAGGTGGGAGTGGTGCCGATGGTCCATTAATAACAGGTGGGAGTGGTGCCGGTGGTCCATTAATTATAGGTGGGATTTGTACCGGTGGTCCATTAATAACAGGTAGGAGTGGTGCCGCTGGTCCATTAATAACAGGCGGGAGTGGTACCAGTGCTCCATTAATAACAGGTGGGAGTGGTATCGATGGTCTATTAAAAACAGGAGTGGGGTTTTGCATTTCAGCATACATATGTCTAAGTCTTTGGTAAAATTGAATACTTAGCCCCACTCCTATTATTATCAGCACAAATATAGCCTGCATCCAGTGTACAATATTTAATTTACTTATATTAAAGAGGCATTAATCAAATAATTGTTGGTGATGTTTCTTATTATGATTGCTTTGATGAAAATAGAACACATTCAATGAGCTCACTATGACGAATTCAGCTCAATCTCGTTAATCCTCTTTCTGCTCTTCATCCACTCAGAAAAGGCACGCTGCCTTACAGTTCGTCGCAAAGATTGTCTTCTACGCCTTTTCATAATTAACTTGGCAACTTGCCAAGTTATGAATCCCACTGTACCTAAATAAGAAAATAAGTATTTCAAAATTTTTTTTTAAAAATACCCAAGACACATACAATCAATCATTTGAGGTATAGACTTGGTTAATGTCTAAGTATTTAGAACAGTAAAAGAAAAATTCGTAAGGGTTCCGCGGAACCCAGTGTCTCGCCTACTTTTGCTGTTAGTCGCAGGCTCAACAAAAATGGGAAAAAATATTAAGAATTTTCCTCTAGATACTATCTTTTGACTGTAAGAAGATTCTGTCCAAGTTTGGTAAAAATCCAGGATAGTTTATGAATCTAATAAATGTTTTCAAAACTTGAACTGCAGACTGTATGTAATGTTAACTTGAAGAAAAACTAAATCCATTTATAATATACGGAAAAACAGGAAATAATTTTTTACAAAATTTCCTTCTAGATACTAGCTTTTGATCATAAACAAGCTTCTCCCCAAGTTTGGTACAAATCCAGGATAGTTTAAGAAGGTTATTAAAATTTGAAAAACTTTAACCACAGAGTGAATGTAATGTTAACTGGCAGAAAAACGAAGTCCATTTATAAGTAAAATAAGGATAAACCGGATTTCTTCTTTTACAAAATTTACTTCTGGATACTATCTTGTGATCATAAACAAGCTTCTGTCCAAGTTTGGTAGAAATCCAGGATAGTTTAAGAAAGTTATTAAAATTTCAAAAACTTTTATCACATTGTGAATATTAGTGGACGCCGCCGCCGACGACGACGACGACGACGGAATATAGGATCGCTATGTCTGGCTTTTGCGACAAACGTCGCAGGCTCGACAAAAAAGATATTAAACATCACCCTAGTGTTGCGTCCATAATGAATTAGTAAATATACATACACACCGGTGACTACATTTCTTTTTTGCATGTTGATCAAACTTGCATGTATTACATATTAGAGGTGCCAGGCTTATAATTTATATTACACCAGACGTATGTTTCGCCTATAAATGACTCATCAGTGACACTCAAATCAAAATAATTGAAAAGTCAAATAAAGTAGAAAGTTGAGGAGCATTGAGAACCAAAAATTCCAAAAGGTTATGTCAAATACGGCTAAGGTAATCTGTGTCTGGAGTTGTAAAGTCCTTAGTATTTCAAATAATTTATACCTGTACAATGGCAGAAATAACAGCAAATCCCCAACTTACCAATGGACTCAACCACGAATCCAACCACCCATCCAAGTGTGCTCTGTTCTGCTTCCTAGAATAAAAATAAAATATTAATATTCTTGGTTTTCTTTCTTCAGAAATGATATGGCCTCATCCAATCTGATCCAACCACCATGGCACCAGGATGATGAAATCAGTTAGGAGGAGGAGGAGGAGGAGGAGGAGGAGATGTAACAGAATAAAAGAAAAGAACCTTAGTGAGCGCGCTCACATACCCCACGTCCCCATATTGTCATTGGAGAAATAAAATAAGTGTAAGAAAACAAAATTGTATCAGAAAAAAAAATTGAATCATAATTTCTGGTCAATATGCACATCTACATAGTATGTCCTTATTATCTACACAGTTTCATGAAATTATGTTGTGTGGTTTGAGAGGAGTTGCGATGACAAAAGGTTGCAGTACTATATTGGGCAAATAAGTTCAAAGGGGCGTAACTCCTGGAAAAAAAATTGAATCGTAATTTCCTGTCGATATGCACATCTACGTAGTATTTCCTTATTATCTGAAAAGGTTTCATGAAATTCTGTTGTGTGGTTTGAGAGGAGTTGCGATGACAAAAGGTTGCAGTAGTATATTGGGCAAATAAGTTCAAAGGGGCGTAACTCCTGGAAAAAAATTGAATCGTAATTTCCTGTCGATATGCACATCTACGTAGTATGTCCTTATTATCTGAAAATGTTTCATGAAATTCTGTTGTGTGGTTTGAGAGGAGTTGCGATGACAAACTGTTGCAGTAGTACATTAAAGTAAATAAGTTCAAAGGAGCGTAACTCCTAGAAAAAGAATTGAATCGTTATTTCCTGTCGATATGCACAACTACATAGTATGTCTTTATTATCTAAAAAGGTTTCGTGAAATTCTGTTGTGTGGTTTGAGAGGAGTTGAGATGACAAGAAACAGGACTGACGGACTGACGGACTGACGGACGGACAGACGGACAGACGGACGGACGGGTCAAAAACGTTATACCCTCCGCAACTCGTTGCGTGGGGTATAACAAGATGAGGCGCAATCGCCATGCGCCTCAATTAAAGATGCACAATAGTTTCATACATTGTACATATTCAACATGTATTCAACTATTTTGATTTGAGTGTCACTGATGTCAGAGTCTTTTATAGACGAAACACACGTCTGGTGTAATATAAATTATAAGCCAGGCACCTTTAATATATAATACATGCAAGTTTGATCAACATGCAAAAAAGGAATGTAGTCAATGGTGTGTATGTATACTTACTATTCAATTATGGACGCAACACTAGGGTGATGTTTAATATCATTTTTCTTTAACTGTTCTTAATACTTAGACATTAACCAAGTGGATACCTCAAATGATTGATTTTATGTGTCTGGTGTATTTTTAATTCACATTTTTGAAATACTGATTTTATTATTGATGTACAGTGGGACTTACCACGTTAATCATATAAAGGCGTAGGAGACAATCTTGGCGACGAACTGTAAGGCAGCGTGCCTTTTCTAAGCGGATGAGGAGCAGAGGGGGAGGGGGGGGGATTGAGGAGATTTAGCTCACTTCGGCATAGTGAGATAATTTAATGTGTTCTATTTTCACCAAAGCAATCGTAATAAGAAACATCACCTAAAATTATTTAATTAATGCCTCTTTAATTAAAGTTAATTAATTATTGTGCATTGGATGCAGGCAATATTTGTGCTGATAATAACAGGAGTAGGGCTAAGGATTCAATTTTACCAAAGACTTAGACATATGTATGCTGAAATGCAAAATCCCACCTGTAATTAATGGACCACCGGCACAACTCCCGCCTGTAATTAATGAGGCACCTCCCCCTCCAGCCCCACTAAGGCGTTCAAACAGGTTGAGAAATAAGCCGGACCATTATCATGACCAAATGTAAAAATAAAATGTTCACCTGTTATGTAGTATCTTGTGATACATTTGCAAAATGCTGACATTTGCAACTTTATCAGCTAGCACTTTAAGTCAAAGTACTATGGAATTGTCAGCATAGTACAACGATGACTCTGACATTAACAAGTTTCCATGCAAAATGTCATGGTAGATTCCAACTAACATTTTGCTGAAGTTAGAGTTATCTGTAATGCTTGAAAGTCCCCATTTCCTTTCTACACTCTGAATCGACTGTGCATGGTATTTGTCTACAGTCTACCAATTTGATTTTTGGCATTTTTTCCAATTCCTTGGCAATTTCAATAGCAAGATCCATTTTTAAAGTTGAAGTATAGTTCCCTTTTGTGATCTGTAAAGGGGAGGGGTAGGGTATTTATACCAAAATCAAGCTCAGTGAACATTCACTGAAAGATTTAAATGAAATGTAGAAATTAGAAAGTTAAAATTGATTATTTTAGATCTTTTTTTGAAAATGTTTTAAACTGTGATGTTAAATTCCATATGAAAATGAAAAGTTGGTCTATATGTTTGGTTTTAATACATAGGTGATGTTTGTTTTTTATATATACTTATATTAATTTTGATTCTTTTAATAAAAAAAGAACACATTAACTGAACTATTTCATGCATATAATTTGTTGATGTTTGTGAACATTTAAATGACAGACTTTTTTAATATAGCATGTTAATAGGAGTCTTTCTACTTTATTTACAAAGATAATGGTGCTTTTCATTGCTCTTTTTATTTCATTTACAAAAATCATGGTGCTTTTCATTATCCAATATTGACATTTTAAAAATCGCTCAGGCAAATAGTTTTTTTTCATTTTGATATATTAAAGTCAAGTTATATTTGCATCTATAGCAGATGTATTAAACAGTGTATTCACTTTATTTTAATTCGATTGTTATTTATCACATTAACTTCACATATATAAAGTATTTTCCATCCAATCTTAATTCTTTAATCAAACTGAATCGATATAACGTTGTCTTTTGCTCAGGTTTGTGTCCCGTTAAATTTATTTGAAATTCCGTCCACAATTCCATTTACCTTTACAATTAGCTTTGTTGTTTCATATTTTTCATGATGTAAATTTTCTTGATAAAATAATGTTTTTAATTTTCGGTCTGTGCGTCTGCCCCGCTTCAGGTTTAAGGTTTTGAACAAGATAGTTTTTGATGAAGTTGAAGTCCAATCAAATTGACACTTAGTACACATGTTCCCTATGATATGATCTTTCTAATTTTAATGCCCAATTAGAGTTTTGATCCCAATTTCACGGTCCACTGAACATAGAAACTGATAGTGCGAGTGGGGCATCCGTGTACTATAGACACATTCTTGTTTAGTTTATTTCAAAATATCATCATTAACCTTTTTCAATGTTTTTCATCTCATTGTTTTATGTTTTATGCTCCTTTTAAGTTTTATGTGTTATACTCCTTTTAAAATTTGACTTAAATCAACATTCCAATCTTGGTTGTAATTTCATGTTCTAAATAAAATCAGTATTGCTTAGATAAGTTTTATATATTTTTACAATAAATATTTTCTAATGGTTGTGTTAGTGATATATATATTCAGCAGTTAGCTGATTTGTTAATTTTATGTAAAATTGTTATTGAAATGCTATTGTTGTTTCATATTTTTATGGGTAATGCCATGTCAATTTTCTTGATTGATATATATAAGTTTTTCTTTTTTTTTCTATTTTCTTTAATCAGTATTATAACTTTGATTACAACATCTGTTTTTTTTGTTGTTTTTTTTCTCACACTGTGTCTTGTGAGTTTTTTTCCTGTCTTTTTTAATAAAACTATATTCGTTTAACCGGCACCAGTTTGGTTTGGTTTTGTTTTGTTTTTTTTCATCCTAATTTTTTTTTACTTAAATCATTATTCCAATCATGGTTGTACTTTCTAGTCAATGTAATTTAAAATAAGTATCACTCAGATAAGTTTTATATATTTTTACAATTAATATTTTCTAATGATTGTGTTTGATATATATATATATTCATCAGTTAGCTGATTTGTTACTAAATTGTTATTTGATTTAATGTTATTGTTGTTTTATATTTTGATGAGAAATATTATGTCAATTTTCTTGTTCCCTCTATATGTTATATATGGTAAACACAATATTTCTAAAATCCTAGTAATTTTAAAATGTCTCAGTAAATGTTATTTTGGAATATGATTTCAATTAACCACTTAAATACTTTAATTGTATCAGGATATATTTTTACATGAATATTTTCTGCTGATAATGTTGAATGATGTGTTTGTATGTATATATACAGCAGTTAGCTGATTTGATATTATGATATTAAAGTTGTTATTTGAAAAGAATCTTTTTATTATCTTAAAAAATCTAGAAATAATTTGTTCATAAGTTTGTTTCTGTTTAAAAACATCAGGAGAAAATCTTCTACACCTCGATTTTATCATATTGAATGGACAACCTTGTGACCTTTAGCTAGCCATTTAAAACCAAGAGAAGGTTTACTGGACTGACCATTTAAAACCCAATGGTTATTCACTGAACTGATAAAATCACAAGCAATCCATTTGTGTAAATGGACAATAAACAGACACTATACAATGCTAATACAACACAGCGTTATTGATGAAAGAAATCACAAATCTGATGGATTGCTCTAAATAAGTGCTTTAGAGATAGAACTATCAATGTGTGGTATGAGTTTCTTAAGGTATTGCCATTGTCTTGTATTGAAATAATGTCCTTTGATTGTTCGTTGTCTACTGATAAATTGTCTATAATCAACCCGTACTTCTCTCTGATACAGACACACTGTCGCCTTATTGTTGAATATAGTCGCATATGGATGAATTGTATTTTTTTATATAGTATCTACTGGGTGGTTGGTTAATCTAATACAATCCGTAGAATGTTGTATCTTATTTGATCCACAAACATGTAGATTGTTAGTAATGGCTAGTGTTACACTTGTCATTGAAGGGATGACGATAATCCCCAACACGTTCATCATGTCTAAGTGAAAGTCATAATTCGCATACAGAGAACTTAAACTAGACCTCAGTCTTGAAGTTCTAAATGTTATGCCTGCAACATTATGGCCCCTTAGTGAATCAATATCTTCAACAGAGTCTATTCTTGGAATCATGTCTATATACTTTGCATTCAAACTAGTCATATGCTTAGCTTGGGAGTTGTTGCAAATATAATAAGTGGAAAATTATTTCTTTTCTTTTGTATTGCTACATTCTACTATCATTTTGCTCATACCTAACAACCACATTCTCGCGACATTGTACATTCACCAAAACATTACAAAATGTACAAGTTATCAGTCCAGGAAGAGATTTTCAAGACAATTGTTTTAAGATAATATTTTATTCAATGCCGAAAGTAACAAATAGAGAAAGTATTTTATATAATTTTTTTTATATAAGTGATAAATACTTTATATATGAATACATGTACAACACTCTGTAAAAAATAAATTATAGTAAAAAAAATATCAAAGTATGATGGTTTTCACAATAATCATACTGGATGATTATGCTTTCGTGTAAACAAGATCTGATATGTTGCATTCCGTGGTTGTTGTTGGTTGCTGTCTTTCATATTTAAATCAGGGCATAAGTTTTCTCCATAGAATTGTTCCACATATTGTCATGCTAGAGGTATTTTTGTAGCATTAGTTGCCTAACAATCAGCCGCATTTGTGATCAATAAAAAAAAAACCTAAATGCAGCAAATATGGTGTGGAGGTCTTTTACCAGGCATCAGAAAAAGATATGATAGCAAACCACAAGGTTATATGAATGTAAGACTCCTCTGGTTACCTCTTTAAGGACAGGGATACAGTTTCAAATCAATATGGATTATAAGATATATATATTTAATCTCAATCAGCTGATTAGTTTTAACAGTTGCTCTGGTGACATCACAGGTAGAGAACAAGTATAATTTTCACATACATACGCTGTAGCTTTACCGTCTTTTTTAGTTAGAGTTTGTAGAATGTCTAGTTTTGATTTTAGAAAACTATCATTTTGTCCATCACTTATTATCAGTACTTTGTTAGGAATAAACTGACTGTTTAAACAGTCAATCAAGGCTGTCAGATCTTCAGAACCAGGATCACCAACAAGTATTATCTGAAATTGAATAATTAGAAAATCAAAATGGAATCTTCTATCCAGAATTATCCAAGTCTAATCTTAAATTTTTTATAAAATCAATTTCATATTGTATAAAAATCAGAACTAAGATTTCTAACTAGCCTTATTTGAATATCTATAATAAAATGTCATATAAAAAATATCTGGTCAAAAACTGTTAAGATTATTTATAATTAAAACATCTAAATAGTGAAGACATTTTATCTGGCTAGTCTTAGAACCATTATCTAACACAATCTGATTTTATCATAAAAACAAATAATATATCTGTAAATATATAAATGATCAAAACAAACAGAAGACAATTTCTACTTTGTTTAGCTTATTTATACTGTTCCTGACTTGTTTTAAAGGGGGGTAACTTCATATGAGCGGCTGAAACATCTGGTACCGGACTTTTTTCCTATATTTAGAATATCAAAAATACATAACCTATATATATTTTTGTATAAAAGATATATCTATAGCTATCATGTTTATACTATTTCAGGGACAGATAAAAAGGTTTGACAAATATCAGAAGCATATACGAAAGTGGTTTTAATCGCATTTGTGCAAAACATGGACATTTGATTAGTTCTAGAAACTAGTTTCATTAGCAACCTTGTCATACATTTCATCTTGATTTCTCCACCTTAACATATATCTTAATTTTTGTAAATAGTTCTTGAAAAGGCAAATTACACCTCATACTTCAAGTTTTGTAAACTGCTCTGAGAAATGCATACTATATACCAATTCAACATAGTTAAACTACATTCTAATTTCTCAACCTTTCCTGATCACAAAAGACAAACTAACCTGTTTTGTTGTTGACAGAGAAAATAACAGTCCAGAAACCATCTCTGGTACAGCAAGAGGAATTTTCATCAAACGTTCATTAAATACAGTCAATATCTTATTAGCTTTCTCTACGTATTCTGGTTTATCAATGAAGTTTGAAAGTCTGAGTAAGTTACTCACAGCTACTGAGTTTGAACAAGGCTCTGCTCCATCTTGATCTGTGAATATATGCAATTAGAATTCAATTTAGTTTAATTTAATTAATAATAATAGTAATTACCCCCAGCCCTAACTCATAGTGTGTGTGATATATTAGAACAATCCCCTTGTCTGTCTGTCTGTCTGTTTGTACATCCCTAACTGCCATAACATTTCATTCAGCTTCTGTTTTATGGAATGATTTGATATTTGATAGGAACTTTATAATATCTTGTTGTATCCTGTAGGTTATTTTCAGGTCTGCTAGGCAGTAACTTTCTGTTTGACTGACATTTTATTGTACCACCTTGCACAACACCACTTGCAACTTCTTGTTGTTTTTAGATGTCAATTTTATTTCACTTGAGTTTTTGGGTTGCTTTATCAAAGGCCTTTTGTCATACATCTCTATTAATTCATATCTCATTGTAAACAATGACAATGTTTACTCTGTATGTAACTTGTTTGGTTGCTGTCTAATTGACTAACACCTCATAACTTCTTTCATTCATACCAAGATCCTGTATCACTTAACTAGGAAGATAATATAAAAATCAAACGTTTTTAAAGAACTGTCATCTAAAAGCAAAATCATTATTTAATTAATCTCTTGATAGTTCAATATTTTTAGAACATTTATATGTTTAAAGCATGCCTCCTTATCAAGATTATGAACTTGTAATGTTTGTCACTGGACAAGTCGTTTATCATAAGTTGTGCCATGCATTTTCAATTCTTTTATGTGTTTGAACTTTATACCACATTTTCATGTACTTAGTCTGTAAATTTAACCACTATATAAAGGTCACCAGGTGAGAAAGTGCAAATATTTTCAAAAGAGAAATTACTTTGTTTTTCACATACCTTCTTTAAGTCTGAGTACAAGGGATGAATCATTACTGACACTGTTAAAATATCCTCCATCTTCTGTATCCCAGAATAACTGGTCTTGTTTTTGTTGTAGTGAATCTGCCCAGGAAATCCATTTGTCATTAAAACTGGCTTCAAATAAATCTAACAGACCTCGAATCATAAAGGTGTAGTCATCAACAAAACCATGTATCACTGTCTGCCTGAACAAAAAGGGGGGTTTATGATTAGGGTGTGTAGCTGTATGCACACTATCTGTCAATGTCTGACCAAAAACAGGACTATGTAAATAATCAAAGCATCTTCGCTGATCCAGCCAAACTGCTTGAACATGAACACATGTAAATTTTCACATTAAATTATTTTATTCTGTTTTAAACTGTTTTATTCAAAGCAGCAGTTGTTGGAAGATCTGTTTTAATTGAAAGGGATAAATAAATTATTGGAAACGAATAAACATGCAACTTGGTTAAAATGACTTACTAAAGTAGATCCAATTCTAGCAGAGTTGTGTTGTTTGAAATGTAGAGCTTCATTTGTATTACTTTTAAGTCACTTTCTTTATTACTACACTATAAAACAAGAATATGTGTCCATATAGGACACCATGCCCCTATAGCACTATCTTATGTCTATTTTCAGTAAACCCTGAAATCAGGGTCAAAATCATAATTTGTTACATAGTCATTGAATCTATAAAGGTTAACTAAAATATTGTACTATAAAGTTTCAATAAACCAAAACTTGTTGGTAGACTACCTTAACCAAAAACTTTAATCTGAGAATCTACTTATTTCACACTATCACATTTGTATGTTCAGTGAAACACACTATCACATTTGTATGTTCAGTGAAACACACTATCACATTTGTATGTTCAGTGAAACACACTATCACATTTGTATAGTGAAACACACTATCACATTTGTATGTTCAGTGAAACACACTGTCACATTTGTATGTTCAGTGAAACACACTGTCACATTTGTATGTTCAGTGAAACACACTATCACATTTGTATGTTCAGTGAACTTCTCAATGGGGGTCAAAACCAAAATTTGGTATGTAATTTCAAAAATAAAAATCAATAGAAGATGTGTATTTAGTTTCAAGTTAATGTAACAACACCTTCATGGTCAACTACCTTAACCAAAAGCTTTAACCTGATATGGACAGGTGAACATACACAGTAAAAACTATAGGACTCCTGCACTCTGATTGCAGTACCCTAATAATAAACATTTATCATTTTAAATTCAATGAGGTAAACGTTTTTATTAACAGATATTCATTGCATTTCTTCAGTAAAGAATGCATAAATTTTAAAACAAATTTAAATCAATGAATTTAATCAATGCTATTGAATTAATTAACACTGGTTACTTAGTACAAAATGTCTATGTATGGATTTTAAATGCATCTTTTTTGCTTTAGGGCCATTAATCATCTGTCAGCTAGGGCGTGCATTTCATCCTCAGAATACAGTTTCTGGTCATTGTATACAAACAGGCAAAATAAAGTACAAAAACTCAACCATAAAGACAACGACCTTTAACAAGGTTTCAGACTTGGGACAGGACACTTGCATGAGGCAAGTCCAAAAAGTGTCTAACTACTCAATCTTCATATTCAAATTTCTCTTCTGACTTAATTAGCTTGGGACAGGAACATTAACATGAGAAAGGTTAAATTAGATTTGGGAGTACAAGGCCCTTAGAACAAAATTTTTCTTCCATGACTAACTCCTTAAGGTTAATTTTCTTTAGTGTTCCAAGAATAAATTTGTAAGTTATATGGAGAATGGCTTGGTGTGATATTTCTTAAAATGGTCCTTGAGTGACTGTAATCCTATAGCTCCCAGTATAATAACTATTAACACTAACCCTTAAAAGACCAACTGCCATTATGTATATGTGTACTAAATATCTTTATATGAATATAGATACTAGTACGGTACCAGTTACTGTCAGAAATTCGTAGTTTTTTCAAATATTTTTTTTACAGGAACTCTTGTTGAAAATATTCTTTTACCATAAAAAGGGTCACCAAAAGTTAGGTTGAATGCCATGCACTATATCTTTAAATCATCTAATAAAGGACGAAAATAGGTATACTAGTGTGCCGATTTGGCCTTGAAATTTTATGGTTACAAAGACCAGTTCCCATCATTTAAGAATTTACTCATTAAATGATAGATATTTACCACTGTTTATGAGTATTTATGTCATATAATGCTTTTCTGTAGTAAGAGGAGAAGGTTCTTTGCTTAATTAACCAAGCACATAGTCATTTGGTCTGTATATTGTTAATCTTTTCTTCCTTTTGCAAAGTCTGAACTGATCATAAATTATGTCACTTGAGATCAACAAAATATATTGTATTGACAGAGAGCAAAAAAATATGATTTTCAAAAATTTTTAAATCTGTACTTATTCTTATGAAAGAAATTTGTGTTCTTAAGCAAGCTTTGATAGATTATGTAATTGAAAACAGTAACTTTTCTAACATCGTGGACACCATTAAGTAATGATGTCATGTCCCCGCACCTGTATCTTTCCATAATGTGTTATAAAAATTGAAAAACTCAGAATTTCATTATCTTAATGGGATCAAACAAAACAAAATTTTTAAATATGAAGCAAAAATATGTGTCTGCCGATAATTCATGCAACGCATCCGTTATAACAAAAAATGTCTTGTGACGTTAACTGGTAACTGACGGTAACTGGTCTCCTACCAGTACCATTCAAAGACAAATAGTCTTCTGTATATCAGCTATATAAACTGTTTGTATAAGTATACCTACCCTTGGACGACATCCTTCCCTTCTGTGTAACAGCTACGTAATAAGACATTGGTATCTGCTTTGTATAAGTATACCTACCCTTGGACGACATCCTTCCCTTCTGTGTAACAGCTACGTAATAAGACATTGGTATCTGCTTTGTATAAGTATACCTACCCTTGGACGACATCCTTCCCTTCTGTGTAACAGCTACGTAATAAGACATTGGTATCTGCTTTGTATCAGTATACCTACCCTTGGACGACATCCTTCCCTTCTGTGTAACAGCTACGTAATAAGACATTGGTATCTGCTTTGTATAAATATACCTACCCTTGGACGACATCCTTCCCTTCTGTGTAACAGCTACGTAATAAGACATTGGTATCTGCTTTGTATAAGTATACCTACCCTTGGACGACATCCTTCCCTTCTGTGTAACAGCTACGTAATAAGACATTGGTATCTGCTTTGTATAAATATACCTACCCTTGGACGACATCCTTCCCTTCTGTGTAACAGCTACGTAATAAGACATTGGTATCTGCTTTGTATAAGTATACCTACCCTTGGACGACATCCTTCCCTTCTGTGTAACAGCTACGTAATAAGACATTGGTATCTGCTTTGTATAAATATACCTACCCTTGGACGACATCCTTCCCTTCTGTGTAACAGCTACGTAATAAGACATTGGTATCTGCTTTGTATAAATATACCTACCCTTGGACGACATCCTTCCCTTCTGTGTAACAGCTACGTAATAAGACATTGGTATCTGCTTTGTATAAGTATACCTACCCTTGGACGACATCCTTCCCTTCTGTGTAACAGCTACGTAATAAGACATTGGTATCTGCTTTGTATAAATATACCTACCCTTGGACGACATCCTTCCCTTCTGTGTAACAGCTACGTAATAAGACATTGGTATCTGCTTTGTATAAATATACCTACCCTTGGACGACATCCTTCCCTTCTGTGTAACAGCTACGTAATAAGACATTGGTATCTGCTTTGTATCAGTATACCTACCCTTGGACGACATCCTTCCCTTCTGTGTAACAGCTACGTAATAAGACATTGGTATCTGCTTTGTATCAGTATACCTACCCTTGGACGACATCCTTCCCTTCTGTGTAACAGCTACGTAATAAGACATTGGTATCTGCTTTGTATAAATATACCTACCCTTGGACGACATCCTTCCCTTCTGTGTAACAGCTACGTAATAAGACATTGGTATCTGCTTTGTATAAGTATACCTACCCTTGGACGACATCCTTCCCTTCTGTGTAACAGCTACGTAATAAGACATTGGTATCTGCTTTGTATAAGTATACCTACCCTTGGACGACATCCTTCCCTTCTGTGTAACAGCTACGTAATAAGACATTGGTATCTGCTTTGTATAAGTATACCTACCCTTGGACGACATCCTTCCCTTCTGTGTAACAGCTACGTAATAAGACATTGGTATCTGCTTTGTATAAGTATACCTACCCTTGGACGACATCCTTCCCTTCTGTGTAACAGCTACGTAATAAGACATTGGTATCTGCTTTGTATAAGTATACCTACCCTTGGACGACATCCTTCCCTTCTGTGTAACAGCTACGTAATAAGACATTGGTATCTGCTTTGTATAAATATACCTACCCTTGGACGACATCCTTCCCTTCTGTGTAACAGCTACGTAATAAGACATTGGTATCTGCTTTGTATAAGTATACCTACCCTTGGACGACATCCTTCCCTTCTGTGTAACAGCTACGTAATAAGACATTGGTATCTGCTTTGTATCAGTATACCTACCCTTGGACGACATCCTTCCCTTCTGTGTAACAGCTACGTAATAAGACATTGGTATCTGCTTTGTATAAATATACCTACCCTTGGACGACATCCTTCCCTTCTGTGTAACAGCTACGTAATAAGACATTGGTATCTGCTTTGTATAAGTATACCTACCCTTGGACGACATCCTTCCCTTCTGTGTAACAGCTACGTAATAAGACATTGGTATCTGCTTTGTATAAGTATACCTACCCTTGGACGACATCCTTCCCTTCTGTGTAACAGCTACGTAATAAGACATTGGTATCTGCTTTGTATAAGTATACCTACCCTTGGACGACATCCTTCCCTTCTGTGTAACAGCTACGTAATAAGACATTGGTATCTGCTTTGTATAAGTATACCTACCCTTGGACGACATCCTTCTCTTCTGTGTAACAGCTACGTAATAAGACATTGGTATCTGCTTTGTATAAGTATACCTACCCTTGGACGACATCCTTCCCTTCTGTGTAACAGCTACGTAATAAGACATTGGTATCTGCTTTGTATAAGTATACCTACCCTTGGACGACATCCTTCCCTTCTGTGTAACAGCTACGTAATAAGACATTGGTATCTGCTTTGTATAAGTATACCTACCCTTGGACGACATCCTTCCCTTCTGTGTAACAGCTACGTAATAAGACATTGGTATCTGCTTTGTATAAATATACCTACCCTTGGACGACATCCTTCCCTTCTGTGTAACAGCTGCGTAATAAGACATTGGTATCTGCTTTGTATAAGTATACCTACCCTTGGACGACATCCTTCCCTTCTGTGTAACAGCTACGTAATAAGACATTGGTATCTGCTTTGTATAAATATACCTACCCTTGGACGACATCCTTCCCTTCTGTGTAACAGCTACGTAATAAGACATTGGTATCTGCTTTGTATAAGTATACCTACCCTTGGACGACATCCTTCCCTTCTGTGTAACAGCTACGTAATAAGACATTGGTATCTGCTTTGTATAAATATACCTACCCTTGGACGACATCCTTCCCTTCTGTGTAACAGCTACGTAATAAGACATTGGTATCTGCTTTGTATAAGTATTTCTGTATAAAAGAAGCAGCAACTTCTGCTTTGGCCACAAAATCTGTGTTAGGCAACACAGACCCTGCCTTTGCTAAACCAGAGATTACTAATCCTAGAAAATAAAAAGTTAAATATTTAAGTTTCTGGACAATATTGACTCTGCTTAGAAAAATAAAGTATAAATTTTCTCTCTAATTGATGTATTCTTTGAAAAGGATGTAATAATGTTAACAAGAATAAAACTTCAAAAAGGGCAGCAAGGTACTATCTGCTGCATATCCTTTAAAAATCCAACCTGCCCCATATTTTAACGACTTTTGAAGATGAAATTTGAAAATAGAATAAAATAATGTAAATATTTACTGCTTTATTATCATATACAGAAGGACACATGGATGTAATTAGCTCAAAAGTTTAAACTTTAAACTTATGAAGAACAACAGGAGTTAACAAAAATGTTAGACAGTACAACTGACAACGTCAACCACCAAAATCTGACAACATCAACCACCAACACCTGACACCAACCACCAAAACCTGACTACATTGGATATATTAATGTACAAACACTGCTCAAAAACTAACTTAACACATGGTCTAGATAGTCTGACGGACTTTTATAGTTTGTTCTTATGTTGTGGTCTTACACCAGATACCAAGAGGATGGCCACTTATTTGAACAAGGAATATAAAGATAAATAGTACAAAAGAAATATTTATATTTATTACAAAATTGAACATACCATTCCATGCAGATAGGATCTTAGTATCAAGATGTGGTTTTGGTCGCTTTAGTCTGACTTCATATAAAATTTGACGGCACTGCTCCAATATCTGCTTAGTCTTATCAACTCCCATTGTAAACTTCTCTGCAGTTTTTCCTACTGAACCTTTAACAATCAAAACATTCTGATTCTTCAGTTCATCATGAGGATCCTGAAATAAACATAGAGATAATATGAACATCATCTAAAATTTATAAATCAAAGTATGGCTATTCTTTCTTTATTTCATTTAATGATAAGGATACTGAATCAAAGTGCTAATGCACTGAAAAGGCAGTTATTACCTACAGGATTAATGATTTTATAGCCCGGATTGATTATAATCAAACATATTACTTTTCAGGAAAGGCTAACAACATCAGATATTTAGACATTTGTCAATTATTATGGCATGGAAATGATAATTCTACATTGCATTTCCAAAGAACATATTATTCATGTTATTGTATGAGTATATTAATGCACAAATATCTTTTAATATAAAATTTTACAGTCTACAGAGCAACTTAGGATTGTCTTTTTCTACAAACAAATTGATTTTTTTTAATTTATATTCAACAAAGTGCAATTGAATTTTTAGGGTCAATTTTGGTTTTCGTCATTTGTGGTTATTCACATCTCGAGTTTAAAAAAAAAACATCATTCCAGTTCATCATGATCGTTAGGTGTGAATTTATCTCAAAAACATTGAGTTATATGATGTATCTCTAAGTGTCCACTCTTTCCCAGAAAATAGTTATTCTTCACAAAATTATTCCAAGCAAAAAAGTAAATAATTCCAAGTATGATTCCAAGAAATGACCATGCCAGGTCACCAATTATTGTTTGCAATTGTCTACCTTCAACTCTGAGAAAGCCTAACACTACCATATTTTTGTTACGTCATGTATGTAATATAAAAATAAGGAGATGTGGTATGATTGCCAATGAGACAACTATCCACCCAAGTTCAAATGAAGTGGATGTAAGCAATTATAGGCAACCGTACGGCCTTCAACAATGAGAAAAACCAATACCGTATAGTCAGCTATAAAAGGCCCTGACATGAATATATGAAACAATCCAACTGAGATAACTAACGGCCTAATTTAAAACAAAACAATTTACGAAAAACAGTTATGACAGACATGAACCAAGGACAACCATGGGGTTAAACATGTTCTTGGGCGCTCAACCCTCCCCTACCCTGCGACTGTGGTGTAACAGCATAAGAACAAACTACAAAAATCAGTTGAAAATAGTTTAACCCATTTATGAGGATCCTCCCCAACCAGCTAAAGTAATCCTGATCCTTTTAACAGTTTGTGGGGTTGATATAAAGGTAATCTAAACACTGGGGAGGATGTGAATTGTCTTTGAGTCATTGTTGACCATGCTGTCAGTTCGGAACTTCTCGATCATGCTGAAGGTCCTTTAATGTTCGCATTGGAGTGTGAAATAGTGAGTATTTCTTTGCCGAGTTGAAAGTTTATTAAATGTTTTTTCGGCATCAAAAGACAAAACTTCTGATCGATTCCACTTTTCTATTAATGCTGGTATGTACCTTTAATCATCCCTGGCATGTGCCATAAACAGAAGCCGTATCGATTATTTAATATTCGATCACCTGTTGATTGTTCTATCAAACTATTATCACTTGTTAATTAGCATTGGACATGTTGGGCCATTAAATCAAATAAGTTCGATACACTCTGGTTTTTACATTTTCAATCTATAGTGGTAGAAACCAGAGTGTATCGAATTTTTCACATGTCAATTTTGGCACTGTTAGTTTAGGATTTAAAAAAACAACTTTTATTGGACCTAATTGATCAAAATTGTCTACCTGACAATGGGTCTGACATGATAATTATGTCGGAAGGTCAGATGATTTTACAACAGCTTTGGTTTTCGATTAATTCCTGATGGACATTGATAGTTTAGGCGGATTTAGGCAATATTCAACGAACCAAATGTTCTGATGAGAAAAAGAAAAAATAATCAGATACCCGAGAAAACTGAGTTATTATTGACATGTGGCGACTAAGCATAGATCAGTCGACTTTTCATTGTTATATCAACGACTGAAACAATCTTAAAAGCAGCTAAAGATTAAAATACCACTTGAAATAAACCCGAACTATTTCACACGGATTTTAAGTAATATCAGTATGTCAATCAGTTGACTGCTCATAATGCAAAATGCAACAGTCTATCGTAAATTTTGAAAACTTACAAAAAACACCGTTCAATTCTTTACTTCACAATGTCAATGAATTACAATAAAAACACAGAATATCACAAATAGAAGGAGAAAGAATTCCACTTTTCGGAATTTCAATGGTGACATATTTACCCCCCACATAGAAACAAAATGGCTATTGTCTGATACCATTAAAGGCATTAAGGCACTGCCTTTATAAAAGGAGAGAAAAAATACAGTGCATAAGATACACATGTAACATGTCAAAAATTACATTATTTATTTTTGAGTTATCTTTTTTTGTGTGGAGTTCAGTAAATGAAGTGAAATTTGGAAATTAAATAAAGTTGAAAAAAAAGAAAAGATAATTTTTATAATAGCATTTATACATTTTATCAAATCATATTTATGATACAGTTTGATCATTTTGCCCAAATATTAGTTAAAGGTATTTCAAAATATTATTTACTTCATTCTAGTAATTAGTGTACAGGTAATAAAATGCTTCGCTGAGCGCAGCCTGATATACGACCACAGAGGTCGAACCCTGAACAGTTGGTGCAAGTTTGGACACAATATTCATACTTGATACTGTCTGAATTTGGATTGTGATCAAATTTTTTACATAATATAGGTTTCTGACACAAAATAAATGTGGTGAATTATCTCTTGCCTTATCATTATTACTTGCTTTTATATATAAATCAGAAATTTAATAATAAAGTTTTTGGCAAATTTCCAATATACATAATTTAAAAGCAGTTTAGGTGAGATAAACAAAAAAGCTTCATCAGCAACATTTTATATTGGCAAATTTCCAATGAAGTTCATTAAACTAAAGTTATTGGCAAATTTCCAATGGAATTTATTAATAATAAAGTTTTTGGCAAATTTCCAATATTCATAATTTAAAAGCAATTTAGGTGAGATATTCAAATGAGTTTCAATTACCAACCTTACACTGCATTTTAAATTATGTTTTGTACTTAAGTAATTGTCCATTAACCTGGAAACCCTTTTCCTCCCTTTTTTGCACCTTATTCCTAAACGGTTTGAGCCATAATTCCCAAAGACAATTCTTACCATCCCTTTGTGGTATTCCAATATCCAAAATCTAAATACATGGTTAGATTCAGCATATCAAAGAACCCCAAGAATTCATTTTTTGATGAAATCAAATAAAGTTCAATTCTGGACCATTTAAACCTCAATGTGGACCAATTTGATAACCGGGCCCAAATATCAATAAACAGCTGTGCCATGAGCGCATGATATGCCCGTCGTCTTGTGTGTGAATTTTTATGCAATAAGCATAAACAGTTTCTAACATACGGCATGACATGCGAAAACCCCCCTTTTTTTTTACAAAAAACTCAATATCTCTAAAATAAAATTTTGAATCAAAACCAAAAAGTATACAGATCTTTAGATTAATATAACTAAGAAGTGTGTAAAATTTTAAGCAATAATCATAAATAGTTTTTGAGATACGGCGTGACATGTGAAAAACCCCTCCCCCTTTTTTAACAAAATACTCAATATCTCTAAAATAAAATTTTAATTCATCACCAAAAAGTATACGGATCTTAAGATTAATACAACTAAGAAGTGTGTAAAGTTTTAAGCAATAATCATAAATTGTTTTTGAGATACGGCGCGACATGTGAAATAAACAGCTGCGCCATGAGCGCATGATACGCCCTTCGTCTTGTGTGTGAATTTTTATGCAATAAGCATAAATAGTTTCTGACATACGGCGTGACATGTGAAAACCCCCTTTTTTTTTTACAAAAAACTCAATATCTCAAAAATAAAATTTTGAATCAAAACCAAAAAGTATACAGATCTTAAGATTAATATAACTAAGAAGTGTGTAAAATTTTAAGCAATAATCATAAATCGATTTTGAGATATGGCGCAACATGTGAAAACCCCCCGTTTAAAAAAAAAAAATCAATATCTCAAAAATAAAATTTTGAATCAAAACCAAAAAGTATACAGATCTTTAGATTAATATAACTAAGAAGTGTGTAAAATTTTAAGCAATAATCATGAATCGTTTTTGAGATACGGCGCGACATGTGAAAACCCCCCGTTTAAAAAAAAAAAAATCAATATCTCAAAAATAAAATTTTGAATCAAAACCAAAAAGTATACAGATCTTTAGATTAATATAACTAAGAAGTGTGTAAAACTTTAAGCAATAATCATAAATCGTTTTTGAGATACGGCGCGACATGTGAAAAAACCCTCCCCCTTTTTTTACAAAATACTCAATAACTCAAAAATAAAATTTTGAATCATCACCAAAAAGTATACAGATCTTAAGGTTAATATAAATAAGAAGTGTGTAAAGTTTTAAGCAATAATCATAAACTGTTTTTGAGATACGGCGCGACATGTGAAAAACCCCTCCCCCTTTTTTAACAAAATACTCAATATCTCTAAAATAAAATTTCGAATCATCACCAAAAAGTATACAGATCTTAAGATTAATATAACTAAGAAGTGTGTAAAGTTTTAAGCAATAATCATAAATTGTTTTTGAGATACGGCACGACATGTGAAACAAAACACACACCTGTTTTAGTAACTAAGTCCCGTAACTCAAAAAGTTTTAATCTTATTTTCACCAAAAAGTATACAGATCGTTTGACCATCATAAGAAACAACTATGTTAAGTTTCATGAAATTTGGATAAGTCATTCTCAAGTTACGGTGCGACATGTTTACGCCGGACAGACAGACAGACGGACAGACAGACGGACGGACATACACCGGACATTTGTATAACATAATACGTCCGTCAAAAATTGACGGGCGTATAAAAAAACACACACCTGTTTTAGTTACTAAGTCCTGTAACTCAAAAAGTTTTAATCTTATTTTCACCAAAAAGTATACAGATCGTTTGACCATCATTAGAAACAACTATGTTAAGTTTCATGAAATTTGGATAAGTCATTCTCATGTTACGGTGCAACATGTTTACGCCGGACAGACAGACGGATGGACGCCGGACATTTGTATACCATAATACGTCCCGTCAAAAATTTGACGGGCGTATAAAAATCTAAATACAAGGTTAGATTCAGCATATCGAAGAACCCCATATATTCAATTTTTGTTGAAATCAAACAAAGTTTAATTTTGGACCCCGATTTGGACCAACTTGAAAAATGGGCCCATAATCAAAAAACTAAGTACATGTTTAGATTCAGCATATCAAAGAACCCCAAGAATTCAATTTTTGATAAAATCAAACTAAGTTTAATTTTGGACCCTTTGGACCTTAATGTAGACCAATTTGAAAAGGGGACCAAAAATTAAGAATCTAAATACACGGTTAGATTCGGCATATCAAAGAACCCCAATAGTTCAATTTTTGATCAAATCAAACAAAGTTTAATTTTGGACCCTTTTGGCCCCTAATTCCTAAACTGTTGTGACCAAAACTCCCAAAATCAATCCCAACCTTCCTTTTGTAATCATAAACCTTGTGTTCAAATTTCATAGATTTCTATTTACTTATACTAAAGTTATTGTGCAAAAACCAAGAAAAATGCTTATTTGGGCTCTTTTTTTAGCCCCTAATTCCTAAACTGTTGGGACAAAAACTCCCAAAATCAATCCCAACCTTCCTTTTGTGGTCATAAACCTTGTGTTAAAATTTCATAGATTTCTATTAACTTATACTAGAGTTAATGTGCGAAAACCAAGAAAAATGCTGATTGGGCCCTTTTTTGGCCCCTAATTCTTAAACTGTTTCGACAAAAACTCCCAAAATCAATCCCAACCTTCCTTTTGTGGTCATAAACCTTGTGTTTAAATTTCATAGATTTCTAATAATTTATACTAAAGTTATAGTGCGAAAACCAAATGTCTTCGGACGACAACGACGACAACAACAACGACGCCAACGTCATACCAATATACGACCGCAAAAATTTTGCGGTCGTGTAAAAACTGTTCACTACATTATATTTCACTATTGATATATTACTGATCGACAGGTGTAGTTGTGTCTCAGTTTTGTGAACAAGAATATTTGAATATTTAAGGTTGGTGTATTTTGTAAATATTTATTATGATTTGGAATATGATATGTGCATGTAAATAACATTCTATATTTTTATCTGAAGTTTTGCAAATGTAAACATGATTTTGAAAATTTGGTACCATTATTTGAATTTGAAGTATAGTTTTATTGTGCCAGTTGATAGGCATTTTGAAAGACATATATACTATGAAAGATGTGTTTTATATTTTAATTATAAAAGGTTCTGATAAAGTCAGTATTGTTCACAGGTAGATCTATGTGTTTTTCCTACTAGAGGATGATATTTTGCTGTGAAATTGTCTGCCATTTCCTTATTTAGGGTATGTATATTGAATTGTAATTGTGTGCCCTTGATTGATATTATGATTATGTTTAGTTAATTTTTGACATGTTACACACAAATCAATATACAATCATCTACATAACTAATCATGTATATCTTTTGAAAGTTTCTCTTTATGAATTTAGTTTTATAGACCCTCTCAACAGCAAAAGCAATATTGAAATAAATGGGGAATGTGTCCATGGGACATAGATGATGCCCCCTGCTTGCATATAATGTTATAAAGGGGCATAACTCAAGAACGGTAAAAGTGACGTTATCCAAATTCGTACTTGATCAGAGTTTTGTGGTAATGAGCATTGTGTATAAGTTTCATAAGATTTGGTTGAAGATAACCTAAATTAGAGAACAGAAATGAAAAATTCAACAATTTTTCCATTTGTAAAGGGGCATAACTCTAGAACTGCAAAAGTGACGCAACCAAAATTCAAACATGATCTGTGTTTTGTGGTAATAAGCATTGTGTATAAGATTCATAACATTTGGTTTAGGTAAACTTAAGATAGAGAACGGAAACGAAAAATTAAGCAATTTTTCCATTTGTAAATGGGCATAACTCTAGTAAGGTAAAAGTGATGCCACCCAAATTCAAAAGTGAGCTGTGTTATGTGGTAATAAGCATTGTGTATAAGTTTCAAACATTTGGTTGAGGAAAACTAAAGTTAGAGAAGGGAAACCAATTTCGGGACGTATGGACGGACGTATAGACGGACATGGGTAAAACTTAATGCCCCCTCCACTACAGCGGGGGCATAAAAAAAAATAAGACCATGCACCTGTCTTCAAGCAACTTGAAATTTTGTTCTTTATAATTCTGTCAAAGAAAAAAAGCTGTTCCTCAATATATCTAACACCTCTCGAATGGGGATATAATAATATGGATTTTCATCTTATTAGATCATGTGACTAAGTACAGTTGCAATCAGGTATAAAGTATTTGATTCAGTGTACAGAAACCACTGAAACACTGATGGACTGACTGACTAACAACTGGAAGGACAGGTATAAAGTATTTGATTTAGCATACAGAACCACTGAAACACTGATGGACTGACTGACTGACAACCAGAAGGACAGGTATAAAGTACCGTAAATTGGGTTTATATTTTGGTTGTAGTTTTATTTTGGTTTATTTGGTGCCTCCAATGAAAGTGCCAAAATTAAACACACGAAAATAAAGCGAACACTAAAAATTGAAATGCCAATATTGCGTACTGGTACGACAATATCATAATATTAATTGTTGGGGAAAATATTTTATGTTATTATATCTTCCGTATATTTCCTACAATTCTATACATAGCCAAATCTGCAAATAAATACCTGGTATCATTTGACAACAACACTATATAATTTTTACTTAATTGTCAATTTTCTGAAATTGCTAAGAAAACACAACATGAATTTTTATTCACACATGTCATAAATATGCCAGGCTATTGCTGATTAGACGCTGTTATTGGTAATTAGAATATCAAAACTCCTTGTAATCATTTATCTTCAATTAACATGTACTGCCTGAGGTATAAGGATTAAAATTTAAATCCTTGATCGTCAATAGATTAACATGTACTGCTATAGAGATGATTAAAATTTATTTCATATGATATTTGTAAAAAATAATCTATTTAAAAAGTGATTTTAATGTTTAAGATTTTATTTCATATTTTCTTTCAGCTTTGAACCACAATACACGGACATATTTGCAATTGCATCCGTTATCCGATTCCATTATTAAGTTAACTTTGTCATGTTTCTAGTTTGAGAAATTAAATGATATTTTGTCAATAAACGGGTAAATAAAGGCAAATATGAATGAGCTTGCTCACTACTGTTGTTTCAAAATTAAACATATCAATTGGACGAAGCACCAAAATTACACACACCAAAATAAAATACATGCCTTTCAAGAAAAAAATGCCAAAATATCCCGACGCCAAAATTTCCCAATTTACGGTATTTGATTTAGCATACAGAACCACTGAAACACTGATGGACTGACTGACTGACAACTGGAAGGTAAGAAAATAAATACCCAGCCCTGCTACTTTGTAGTGATTTGTAGTATTGGATATAAATATATATGTGTAAATCATTAAAGATTCAGTGTACCTGATATAAAAATAAGGAGATGTGGTATGATTGCCAATGAGACAACGATCCACCAAAGTATACCTACCTGCATTGGATCAACATTTCCATCGTTTTTTATATCATAATGAAAACAAAATATATCAGCCATTTTAGTGTCTGGTTTATCATCTACTGGTTCTTTCAGAAGAGACTGTATCTCCTCATAGGTCCAAACACAAAATGCACCTTCTTTTTTCTCTGAAGCGCCATCTATTGGATAGGAATCAGCATCTTCTGCACTATAAAACCCACCTTCCTGTAAAGAAAAGAATTTGTTTGTATGACAAAAACATCCTGCTAACACCAAAATAGGAAATTTTTTTCTATTTTTGAAAGGTATTATTCCATATGTAATTCTACAAAATTAAAAATATTAAATATTTAAAATTTTACAAAGATCTCAAGGTTCAATTTTCATTAACTGGGAAATAATATCCATCATAGGACCATCAATATTAACATTTATTTTTCATCACCAAATTTGTCAACAAAACCAAAACAAATTAAGAAAATCATTATTATTCAAAAGAAGAAAATTTTTATTATTCAAAATACAACAAATTACACATCTTATTTCAATCAGTTCATTGATTTTTTTTTAATAAATAAAATTCGCAAGGGGTTCCGCTGAACTCAGTGTCTCGCCTGCTATTGCTGCTGTCAGTGTAAAAGTGATTTATTGAAGATTAGCTTCTGTCCAAGTTTAATAACAATCGATGAAGGTTTACAAACTTATCATGTCAAACAAATTTAATCCCAGACTGTCTGTAAATGTTAACTGTAAAAAACTAATACCCCGTTCACACTATGTCTTTTTAAACTGAGTTCGACCCAAATTAGTTAATCCAGGTTAAATTTAGGTAGTGTGAACACTTTAACCCGGGGCGAACCTGGATTAAAATTACCCTTCATTTTAGGTGGAGTTAATGTGGGGTGAACCCGGGTTAATTACCTCGCCTTCTATATGTGAACGCAAAGTGAAGTTAATGTGAGGTTGTTGCTATGGTGACATATGACGTTTGCTTAAATAGGTTTTCAATGTAACGTAATTATTGTGTGACATCACATATCGAATGACGTCATATAATGATATGTGACGTCACAGATGTCCAGCTACCGTATTTAGTGGGTCACGAATTATAACCATATTAAATTAGCGACAGCAAGAGGGATATAAGTGTATTCAGCTATGTTGAAAGACCTGCATAATGACAAATGACGAAACCAATAAGATTTCCGTCGCAAAATGGTGCAATTTGGATAAAGTGACGTTATTTGAAAACACGGAAAGTGGTTGATGTGGAACTCCTCCAAAGCGGTCAGTAGTGCGGTAAAAAATTTCAGACTTTAAAATATTGCATCCGTGATGAGAAAAAAAATGTAAATATGTACATTGGACAGATGCGGGTTACATATTTGGCGCTTACATTTCTATTTTTGTTGAGAGGGAAAATCCTAAACTGGTTTAATTTTTTATTAAGTGTGAACTGGGGTAATTCAATCTGATTAATTATCCCCGGTTCGACCCAGAGCAGATTTCATAGTGTAAACACGGTATAAGTCTATCTATCTGAAAAAAACTGAAAATGAAAAAAAATATATTTTCAAAAGTTTGCTTCAGACATTATCTCTTAATCATAAAAAAGCTTCTGCCAAAGCTTCATAAAATTCTATGAAGCTTTGACAAAGTAATTGACTTGTTTAACCCCAGACTGTATCAACTTAGTAACTATAAAAAAACTAAGTCCATTTATCAGTAAAATAAAGGAAAATGAAAATAAATATTTTCAAAATTTTGTTCTGGATACTCTATTTTGGTCATTATCAAGCTTCTGTCCAACTTCATAAAATTCCTTGACAGTTGACTGAAAAACTTTAACCTCAGACTGAATCTGAATGCTTATTTGTAAAAAAATGAAGTCCATTTATCAGTAAAATACGGAAAAATGAAAATAAATATCTTCAAAATTTTGCTTTGATTCTGTATTTTGGTTATAAACAAGCTTCTGTCCAAATTTCATAAAATTCCTTGAAGGTTTGACAAAGTTATTGATGATTGAAAAACTTTAACCTCAGACTGAATCTGAATGTTTATTTGTAAAAAAAAGTCCATTTATCAGTAAAATACGTAAGGGTTCTGCGGAACCCAGTGTCTTGCCTACTTTTGCAACAAAAGTCGCTGGCTCAACAAAAATGGGGAAAAAATTATTAAAATTTTCCTCTAGATACTATCTTTTGATTGTAAGAAGCTTCTGTCCAAGTTTGGTAAAAATCCAGGATGGTTAATGAATCTAATAAATGTTTTAAAAACTTTAACTGCAGACTGTATGTAATGTTAACTGGAAGAAAAACTAAGTCCATTTATAAGTAAAATACTGAAAAACAGGAAATAAATTTTTACAAAATTTCCTTCTAGATACTAGCTTTTGATCATAAACAAGCTTCTGTCAAAGTTTGGTACAAATCCAGGATAGTTTAAGAAAGTTGTTAAAATTTAAAAAACTTTAACCACAGAGTGAATTTAATTTTAACTGGCAGAAAAAATAAATACATTTACAAGTAAAATATGGATAAACAGGATTTTTTGTTTTTACAAAATTTACTTCTGGATACTATCTTATGATCATAAACAAGCTTCTGTCCAAGTTTGGTAGAAATCCAGGAGAGTTTAAGAAAGTTATTAAAATTTCAAAAACTTAACCACAGAGTGAATATTTGTGGACGCCGCCGACGATGACAGAATGTAGGATCACTATGTCTTGCTTTTGAAGTCGCAGGCTCGACAAAAATACGAAATAATGAAAATAAATACATTCAGTGTTTTTTTCCCTCCCATTATTAAACTATTGTTTACATAATTAAAAAAATGTCTTACAATTTGTAAATTGTAAATTTTTGTTTCAAGCATTACCATCAAATGTTGGCTGAGATCTAAGGCTGTATAAATACTGCTTTTTTATTTCAAAACATACTTGGTTATAAGTAGCACAAAAAAGTTTGACACTGCCACATTCGTGTGTGCCTGTCGGTAGCCTTATTTCAGTGGCTGTCCTTTGTTGCTGTCTCTCATATATGTTTTTTGTTTATTGTTGTGTCATAAATCAGGTCGTTGAATTTCTCTGTTCAATTGTTTCACATTTTGTCATGTCAGAGCCTTTTATAGCTAACTATACAGTATGGGTTTTGCTAATTGTTGAAGGATGAACCTTGACCAATACATACTTACATCCAGGTCATTTGGACTCTGGGGGATAGTTGTCTCATTGGCAATCATTTCACATCTCCTTATTTTTATATCTACAGGATATTTTACATTAAATCCTGATTGTTAACTTACAGGACTTTGTAAATCTCTAGTCACATATTCCACTATATCTCTGGCAACATCAGCAAACATTTCATCTTTTGTTATCTGTAATCAAATTCATCTTTCTGTTTTAAATTACAAAAGCATTCAAACTAAATAGATCCCTCTAAAATATCTAAAAGATTTATCTGCCATTCAAAAATATAAATAAAAAAAGATGGCACATACCAAAAAAAAATACATTTGTGATCATCATGAATTCAATTAAGAATTCCAGTGTTTTAAATTAAAACAAGAAATGATTGTAACAGGATGCTGTTACGAAGTCTCCCAAATGAAGCTCCCATAATTCGTAATTCCAAGGGTCGCCTGACATTGGGCAAAGTCCAGTGAAAATTGGTTTGGTCCAGTAAAGTTATATGCATTAGTGATGCCTGGGGACTAACCCTGTATATCATTCAAATCATCTTGGCATGACAAACCAGAATATATATGGTTTAGGGGTGGGGATCTCGACCATTTTCAAGATACTAGAACATTGGAGGTGGGGTGAACCCCTGGGGACTGACCCTATACGTCATTCAAATGTTCGAGACATGACGAACAGGAATATATATGGTTTAGGGGTGGGGATCTCAACCATTTACAAGATATTAGAACTTTCTCAAATGGCAGGGGGTCGGGATGACCCCTCGGGACTAACCCTGTATATCATTCAAACTATCTTCGCATGACAAACCAGAATATATATGGTTTAGGGGTAGGGATCTTGACCATTTACCACATACTAGAACATTTGGGGGTGGGGGAACCCATGGGGACTGACCCTATACGTCATTCAAATGTTTGAGACATGACGAACAGGAATATATATGGTTTAGGGGTGGGGATCTCGACCATTTACAAGATATTAGAACATTGGGGGTGGGGGAAACCCCTGGGGACGGACCCGATATGTCATTCAAATTTTCGAGACATGACCAACAGGAATATATATGGTTTAGGGGTGGGGATCTCGACCATTTACAAGATATTAGAACTTTCTCAAATGGCAGGGGGTCGGGATGACCGCTGGGGACTAACCCTGTATATCATTCAAACCATCTTAGCATGACAAACCAGAATATATATGGTTTAGGGGTGGGGATCTTGACCACTTACATGATATTAGAACTTTCTTAAATGGCAGGGGGTGGGGATGACCCCTGGGGACTTACCCTGTAATTCATTTAATGTGCTTTATTATTTAGAACATTTTCAATAAAAAAGATTGTGTCTATCACAAACGGTTTTCAATTTATAATCATTTGAAAATTTAAAAAAATAAAATCCCATAGGGTTCTATAGTAAAACCCTCCTTTCTTTTTGCCCCTCAAAGTACCACTTTATAAACCCCATTGCACAAACAAAACCCTGATTGCACCACTAGACATGTTAGTCTAACATATTGTGAAACCCTAAGTTAATCTGACAAGTGGTTTTGGAGAACGGGTGCGGACAAGTTCAAATTTAAAAGCGGCGGAAGAGGAAGAAGAAGAAGAATAATAACTAGATTTGCCATTGCAAGCAATAGCGGATGGCAATCTTCCCCCATTGCCAGGCGAGCGGCAGCCATTTAGAAAATTCCAAAGTCAAAGAGGGCACCTACACATGCAAATTATCAATTTTGTAAAGTTTCAATAAGTTTGGAGCATTTTGAAATTTTGGACATTTTTGCTGTTTCCATGGTTACGGCGGCCATTTTGAAAATTCCAACTGCAAAATGCAATTCTGCCTATGCCAATTACCATTTCTGTAAAGTTTCATCCAGTTTGCAGCATTTTTGGACATTTTTGCTGTTTCCATGGTTACAGTGGATAATTCCAAAATTCTAAAAGCAGACATCTCATTGCCACATTTCATGTTATATATCAATACAGTTTCACTGACTTTGGTGAAATACTCTTTAAGAAAATGCTGATTTTATGCATTTTCCCATAGGGTCAATGTAAAACTTGCCCCATGTTTCCATGACAACGGCGGCCATTTTGGACTATCCAAATATTGTCTTGACATCTTAGCATACTTGGTAACATTTTCATAAAGTTTCATCCAGTTGGGTCTTATAACGAAATAGTTAGAATTTTTGATTTTTTAGCTGTTTCCATGGTAACGGTAGCCATTTTGAAAATTCCAAAGTCAAACTGCAAATCAGACATGCCAGTTAACATTCCTGTGGAGTTTCTTCCAATTTGGAACACTTTGATTTTTTTCGCATTTTTGCTGTTTCCATGGAAACGGCGGCCATTTTTTACCATTCCATAGCAAGGTGCACAACTTTACATGGGGGTCCTCATTATAGTAGAGTTCCATCAACATCGGTCCATTGGATTCCAAGAACTCGCGCAGACAAAATGTGTGGAAGAAAAATAAGAAAAAAAAGAAACGTAGAATAACAGTATGTCACCCCAACTCCGTTGAGGGTGCCATAATAATTAAAAACCAATTGTTCAGAGAACAATGGAAGGTCTTTCAACAAAAAAACATGTATTTTAATATGAAAATAGTAAAATTCGTTTTAAAATGTCATTTCCAGCTTCAAATGATAGCTTATTGTACACTGATTCCAAAAATATATGGTTTCTATACAATATTTTTTAAATAAGGGAGATAATTTGTTACTTCCGGTTTGAAAAATGTTACTTCCGGTATTATTCAAACTTTTAATTGACACTGATACCAAATATATCTGGTTCTATAAACTTTTACATTAATTAAGTACAAAAAATCTAGAATGTCAATTTAACCTATGACCTTGTGCTCAATTTCAAGGTCATCAACCAAGGACCTAAAATCAAAAGACCCTAGGACTTAATTATATTTGGTTCATGAGTTATATCACCATATGCATATTTTTAAATAAAAGAGGGGAGAAAACTCAAATTTGATGTAAGCATACCCTTTAAACCGATATGTATGTGTTACAACATGTCGCAACTAACAATAAAGTAAAAATATGTTGTCGATATCTTATATCGTGTTTGAAAAGAGGTGAAAATAAGCCAAAATCCAAATTTAAATATGACCTTGACCTTTGACCTTGACCCTATTTTCTTTTTTTTTGGACCAAGGACCTCAAATCAAAAGACCCTAGGTCCCTATCACTTATGCTTTACCAATTACAATTGCATTTTACTTATTTTAAATACAGAAGGGGAAATAACTCTCATATGGAGTTTCTGGCCATGGACCGCTTCGGTCTAAATTACTTTTAAGATCCTGAGGATATAACGAACAAACTGGAGACATAAATTTGTCATAATCTTTTACGGTTGCGAAGGAGATGCGTACACAAGAAAAACAGTGTTTGGGGAGATAACTCTTACAATAAAAAGTATTCGGCTAAACAGGGTCAGTTTCAAAATCGCAATAACTGTTCAATATCATACACAAAAAATCTAAGCGACATCTTGCGAAACAAAAAAGCACCGTCAGAAAAAAGTGGTCGAGGAAGAAAAAAATAATAATAATAATTAGAAGAAGAAAACCAATAGGTCTTTCCACAGAAAAGTGGAAAGACCTAATAAGAACTGAGCAAAAACAATAAGTCTTCCCAAACTTCGTTTTGGAGACTTAATTAACAATATAAGAAATTTATGGACCATGACCAATGGTTTATACTATAAATACAGAAACTATTGCATGCATTTATTATTGAGATTTTTAAAGAATGGACAAAAATGCTAAATCAGTTTGTATTAGATATCAGAATGTGAGTTCATATAATTGCGATATTCACCAAGTCGCAGTATTCGCATTAATAAAAACCTCGCAATAATTTCTGAAATAACAGTACAACAAAATAAGAATACATTCAAAATTAGTACAAAACAATATACATAGTATAAAATAAAATGCTCCTCTGGGGCGCAGCTTGATACGACCGCAGAGGTCGAAACCTGAACAGTTGGCGCAAGTATGGACACAACATTCAAGCTTGATACAGCACTGAATTTGGATTGTAATTAAATATTTGACACAGCATAGGTTTCTGACACAGAATGAAAGTGGTCTAAGAACTTAAAAAATTTCAATTTACCTATTCAAACCATATCATTATTATTTGCTTTTATATATAAATCAGAAATAACCAATTTAAAATGGTAAATTTTAAACAAAAAAAAGGAAACCCCCCCCCCAATTTTTTGAACCCCCTTATGATTCATCACCCCCAAACTCAATCCCAGCCTTCCCTTTGTGGTATGGTACCTTGCAGCACAATTTCAGAGAGATCCATACACTTGAACACAAGTTATTGTCTGGAAACTAGAAAAATGCTTATTTTTGGCCCCTTTTTGGCCCCTAATTCCTACAATTTTTGGGCAATTACCCCAAAACTCAATTCCAGCTTTCCCTGTGTGATATGGAACATTGTAGTACAATTTCATAAAGATCCATACACTTACACACAAGTTATTGTCATGAAACTAGAAAAATGCTTGTTTTTTTCCCCTTTTTGGCCCTTAATTCCTAAAATTTGGAGGCAATTACCCCCAAAATCAATCCCAGCATTCCCTTTGTGATATGGAACCTTGTGATACAATTTCAGAGAGATCCATAGACTTACACACAAGTTATTGTAATGAAACTAGAAAAATGCTTGTTTTTTGCCCCTTTTTGGCCCCTAATTCCTAAAATTTGGAGGCAATTACCCCCAAAATCAATCCCAGCATTCCCTTTGTGATATGGAACCTTGTGGTACAATGTCAGAGAGATCCATACACTTACACACAAGTTATGTCTGGAAGTTACAAAAATGCTTATTTTTGGCCCCTTTTTGGCCCCTAATTCCTTAACTGTTGGTACCATAACCCCCAAAATCAATCCCAACCTTCCTTTTGTGGTATAGAACCTTATGGTAAAATTTCATTGAGATCCATTCACTTAAACTAAAGTTAGAGTGCGAAAACTAATGTGTCTTCGGACGACGACGACGTCGCCGACGCCAACGTCATACCAATATACGACCACAAAAATTTGTTTGCGGTCGTATAAAAAACAGTACCCATAAAACTGATATATCACTAAATGCATATGGAAACAGGTATCACTTACTACATTTGTTTATTTTTAACCCAGATTTTTAGGTCTTTCCAGTATACATACCTGATAAGCTGTGGCATAAGCTACCAACAACTGTCCTTGATCATACAACATTTTCTCAAAGTGTGGCACATGCCAATTTGTGTCTGTAGAGTATCTATGAAAGCCCTGTCAATAAACTCATCATCAATATCAAATAAAAAATGAAAACAACACGTTATACATTTCATGCGTCCGAAGCGCTTTTCTGGATTTACCTTCATCAAGAACGCTCAATGCCAAATATTTGAAAGCCAAGGATGTATAAGAACCGAAATAGTTGAAGAGCTATATGATAAAAAAGAACCCCAAAAATAGCCAAATCCATCTAAGGTCAACTTTGCCTGAGGAGTTGAAAACTTATTTTCAAAATAATTTCAAAATTTGTAAACGGACACATAATAATAATGGGATTTTGTGACCAATTATTTTTTTTCACATTCCCTCTAAAGCTTTTTTAAAAATACTGATTTTAAAAGCTTGAAAAAATTTATATTCCCATTGTATACTTTTTATCATTGTGTTATTATCATGGTAATTGTTTAACAGGATATTCAATTTATTTAACCTTAATGACAGGCTTAATTGAAAACATGTGCAAATTCTATTCAAGGAAAAGGTCTGATATAAAGGCCAATTTTTGTCATCTGAAAAATGTACAATGTATAAGGATTGAAAGAAAAGATGCACAAATTTTATAGAACTCACTCACAACAAGTCCTGAAAAAAACTATCATTAAATTATCGTTACCTCAAGGAGCTCATTTCTATGTACAACATGTGGTCTAGAAAACTAACCACATTTTGTGCCTGTACCAAGTCAGGCTATAGATCTGAACCACAAGTTGGTTATTGTTTGTGTTTTGTTTGTACATTTATTTTCTCGGTGGAGTTGGCAGTAGGTGGTTGGGGTGGTCTGTTGCATTGTCTAAAATGTTTTAGACAGATGAACTAAAAATATCATATAACGATTTTTTCCTTTTAAAATTATAGATACTGCTTCCAAAATTGCTTTAAAAACAAAGGAAAATCTTACATTAGAAAAATGATCATTATATTTCCCCCTTTGAAATATCAGTGTGGAAATGTAAGTTATTATTATCTGAGTAATAAATTGTTTTTATTATGAATTAAAAAATGCTTTAGAAACATAACCATTAATTCCTATGTTTCAATGTTGATGAGTGGCCTTGATGGCCAAGTGGTGTAACTAGTTCAAATACTGTTATCACTAGCCTGTCAACACTAAGGTTGTGAGTTTGAACCCTGTATGTGACAGGTGTGTTCAACTCCAATCTTAATTGACTAGGATTGTCAGTTTTTCTCCCCAAGATTGGTGGTTCTCTCTGGGCACTCTGGCTTCCTCCATCGATAAAAACTAGTCACCACAAAATAATTTTGAAAGTGGCATTAAACACCAAAAATCTATCAATGTTTATGAAGGAAATTTTTATCACAAATTTCTGCTTTGAAAATTGCTTCATAACCAAATGAAAAACTTACTTTTGAAACATGATCATTAATTCCACCTCTAGCCATAAACCTAAGTGTCTGCAGACTCATCTCTAATGCTGTTTTACCAACTTCACTGTTAGGGTCTGTGGCATACAAATGGAACAGGAAATTCAAATTCACTGAAACAAAAACATACTTATATTAATTATTAACAAATATATATTTTTTTATTATTGTCAATTTGATTACTAACCCCATTACTACTCCTATTTTATAGGCAAACTTCGTCCAGGTGACTTGCTAAATACCTGCTCTCGCCAGACATTAAATCAAGTATGTTTAAAACTGATATGTGTACCTAGAAGTTCAAAACTCTACCTTTTAGGAGGTCAAAAAAGAATGTAAGACGCAGGCAAACAAAGAAAAACAAAAAAGACATTGGCCAAAGGAAAAAAAACAAACTGAGCTATGAATCTTATGTTTTGTTAGACCTGCTCCATCACTTAAGGATAGTTTTTTATATATATAGAATACCTGGCTGGGGAAATTTGGGTGCTTTACCGAACCCTCCTAGTTCTTCATCATATGACTTTTGTAACATTTGATAACATTTAGAGGCACTTTCTCTTCCAGGATGTCCTAAATCAGCTGTCCCCGCTATTAATGTACCATTCATCAATGCATCCAATATAGCTGTTCCTTGATGATCTATCAGCTCTCTCTTCTCCTTCCACTAACAAAAATATACCATCAATTAGAACTCAAAACTCAGAATTGTCTCCCTTAAAAGAGTTGAATTTTTTGTTGGCTAATCTTTATATTTCATGAATACTATTAAAGATTTATAATAATTAACAAAATAAAGATACACATTAATATAATATAATACTCTCAAAATTTTAAATGCATTTTTTTATTTTTGCATATCCTATCCAGTTGCAATTTTTTGCAATAACATAATCAAAACATTGCAAAAATTTCTGAATTTAAAGTTACCTAAAAGTTTCTAGTTGTCAACTTGTTTTTGTCAGTATTTTTCAAATCTGACATGAAATAACCATATTGAAAATTTTTCAAAAATATTATTAACTAATAATCATGTTAATTATGTAGTGAAACAAAAATAAAATATCCGCTTATAAACATATAAGATGTAGTGTTACCTGTTCTGCAATCTTTTTCAGAATACTCTTAAACCCTGGTCTGCCATAATATCTATCATCAGGAGGGAAATATGTTCCTCCAACAATAGGCTTCAAATCTGGTGTCAACCAAACACTCATAGGCCATCCCCCACCCCCACTTGTGGCCTAAAAACAAACACAATATAATGTTACCAAACACTTATAGGCCATCCTCCACCTCCATTGGTGGCATGAAAACAGACACCATATAATGTAACCAAATACTTGTAGGCCATCCCCCATTCCCACTTGTGGCCTAAAAACAGACACAATATAATGTTACCAAACACTTATAGGCCATCCCCACCCCCACTTGTGGCCTAAAAACAGACACAATATAATGTAACCAAATACTTGTAGGTCATCCCCCATTCCCACTTGTGGCCTGAAAACAGACACAATATAATGTTACCAAACACTCATAGGACATGTAGGCCATCCCCTATTCCCACTTGTGGCCTAAAAACAGACACAATATAATGTTACCAAACACTTATAGGCCATCCCCACCCTCACTTGTGGCCTAAAAACAGACACAATATAATGTTACCAAACACTCATAAGCCATCCTCCATTCCCATTTGTGGCCTAAAAACAGACACAATATAATGTTACCAAACACTTATAGGCCATCCTCCAACCCACTTGTGGCCTAAAAACAGACACCATATAATGTTACCAAACACTCATAGCCCATCCTCGAACCCACTTGTGGCCTAAAAACAGACACCATATAATGTTACCAAACACTCATAAGCCATCCTCCACTTGTGGCCTAAAAACAGACAACATATAATGTTACCAAACACTCATAAGCCATCCTCCACCCCCACTTGTGGCCTAAAAACAGACACCATATAATGTTACCAAACACTCATAAGCCATCCTCCACCCCCACTTGAAAGTCAGTAACTTGTTGTTATGTACCTTTTTCTGTGTTTTTCAATGTACAATTGTAGTGTTATCAACATCTCACAAAAAATAAACCTAAACCTGTACTTTTGACTGTTTTGAACAAGTTGCATAAAGTTTGGACCTTTGCTCGGTGTTGAAGGCCTCACTGTAACTTTGAGGTGAAGAACAACAATAAAGCACTGTTTCTTTGCTTTGAATTTTGTCAGTTGGGTGTAGAGATTCAATGTTTGGAATTAGTACTTGTCCTTTCTTGTTTAATAACAATGCAATGCATGGGAAACCTTGAATCTATAAATATCTCAAGTGCATTCAGGAATTAAAACTTCTAAAAAATCTCATAAATTAGAATGTTGAACCTTCAAAACATTTTCACTGCACTATAGTTGAAGAGATGCTGACATCAATTCCGAGTTTTACAATCACAAATGCAGTTTTACTGGCTACTGGTCTCCTAAACAGATAATTGTGACTTTGCAGCCCCAATTGATGCTGCAATTCTTTTAAACTGCAGTACTTTTATTCCTACTCTAATGCAGAACAAATAGTTATAATACATTAGACCTTGAAAAAATGTATAAATTCAAATAAAATAACATTCCATGAAACTTCATGAATGATTTTGCCACATAAATGTAATGAAAAAATGTATTCTATAAAAATGAACACTTTCAAACTATTCAAATTTAGATATCAAGAGTTCATTAAAACAGAGAATTACCCACACAAAGATTGTATAGTTATTTCATGCACAGCTACCTGTACAGATGTCATATACACTTTATAGACATTTACATGTAATCACCCACACAAAGATTGTATAGTTATTTCATGCACAGCTAGCTGTACAGATGTCATATACACTTCATACACATTTACATGTAATTTCCCAAACTAACCTTGTAAAGCTAATTCAAAATGTTCAATACAGTAAACAATTACCTGTACAAAGGTCATGTACACTTTATCCACATCTGGTCTTTCTTCTCTGTCCACCTTTATACAAACAAAATCATCATTGAGAATCTTGCCAACTTCTTCATTTTCAAATGATTCCCTTTCCATAACATGGCACCAATGACATGTAGAGTAACCAACAGATAAAAATATCGGTTTGTTTTCTGTTTTGGCTTTGGTAAAAGCTTCTTGTCCCCATGGATACCTTAAATAATATTGAAAAAAAAGAATTCACAACAGTTTCATATCAAGGTGTCATACCACCAAATTCAAAACGCCTATATATTCACCACATTTTTCAGTTTTTCAAAGCTCTTTTAATTTTTTTACCTTAATTTCAACATCATGAGAACCATATTTATCCTGATTTGTACATCTATCACCTGTAGTGACACATGATGTTCCATATGTTACCTACCACAGTTCATCTACACATATAACTGGACAAAGTTTTGTGGATGTATCTGATCCAGAATGGTTGGTAAATCCAGAGAAATGACATTGAAAAGAAAACATATTTATCCTGTTTATCTTGATTTAACATTGAAAACATTAGGATTCTAGTGATTCCATCATGTCCATCATCATTAACAATAACTCAGAGCCTGAGGTGCATCATATTAGTCAACAACACTAACATATCTGCCCACTTTTCAAAATCTACATGGGGGATTTTAAGCGCAAGAGGACCTTATGCTCCTCTTATATTGTCATAAGTGTTCTTAATCTACTACTTTATTGTTTGAATGTGTATATATGTGCTTAAATACCCTGATAACTCATTTGAATACCTGTTCTGATGTGTTCTGTTTATATAATAAAGAATTTCAAAATTCAGGTCACACTTCTCATGGGGATATCCCCCATAAATCGGGATAGTTGGCAGGTCTGCACTAAACATGTAATCTTATTGTTATTTTCTAATATTTTCCTTTAATTTTTCATACCATGCTACTCCAGTGATATGGGTTTTATCTCAGTGGAGTAGAAAGAGAATGTATGACTTTATGAGCCTACGTCATTGATGTTGCCAAGGAAAACGGTAATAAACAGGAAATAAATGGTCTCTAAAACTTGAGGATGTTCTTGGCAGATGGCTACATTTCATCTCAGGGCTATCGCCCTTTGCTGTGATTGTAGCTGAGAAACACCCTCTCTTTTGAAATACCATCAATGATCTATATTTATATCTAATACCATCAATGATCTATATTTATATCTAATACCATCAATGATCTATATTTATATCTAATACCATCAATGATCTATATTTATGTCTAATACCATCAATGATCTATATTTATATCTAATACCATCAATGATCTATATTTATATCTAATACCATCAATGATCTATATTTATATCTAATACCATCAATGATCTATATTTATATCTAATACCTTACCAGTTAACAGGATTAGAAGCATGTTGTAACAAGTAAGGAGATTTCTCTTTGGCAAGACGATTTCTAAACTTTCCACTATCAGAAGATGCCATTCTGGTAAAGGTTTGGAAATAAGTCCCTCTCCTGTAATAAATAAAAATATTACATTAAGGACAGCACAAATTATAGATTTACTTATTGTTGTAAAAATAGAATTAATTACATTTATCACTAATAAATAAGAAAACATATAAATTGTCAGGCTATGCATCTCATGCTATGCTAATACTTAAACCTTGTTTATATACATGCAGTCTTTTCCACAAAACATCAGCCATGTTGACCAAGTTGGCTCATCAGAATTAAGAATTGTTTCTTTACCTATATTAAATCCCAATTAAAAGGATTTCTATCTCTGTAAAAGGGCCTCCACTAATGCCTGCAAAATTAAAGTTTCTCTTCAGAGATGATAAAAATCAGATATTGGTAATTGGTTCAGACCGTGTAACGTTGTCTTAATCAGGTTACATGATACACTAGTTGTATGGTAAAACTAAGATACATGATACACTAGTTGTATAGTAAAACCAAGATACACGATACACTAGTTGTATAGTAAAACCATTACATGAAACCATGATACATGATACACTAGTTGTATAGTAAAACCAAGATACATGATACACTAGTTGTATGGTAAAACCAAGACCCATGATACACTAGTTGTATAGTAAAACCAAGATACATGATACACTAGTTGTATGGTAAAACCAAGATACATGACACACAAGTTGTATGGTAAAACCATGATGCATGATACACTAGTTGTATGGTAAAACCAAGATACATGATACACTAGTCATGCTAGTTGTATGGTAAAACCAAGATACATGATACACTAGTTGTATAGTAAAACCAAGATACATGATACACTAGTTGTATAGTAAAACTAAGATACATGATACACTAGTTGTATAGTAAAAATCCAGAATATTTTCAGCGTATTAAACAATTATTAAAAAGGGGTCTTTTTCTTTTGACTAATCTAATGAGACTACCTGATGAATAAAAAACTATCATCGATGATTTCAAGTTTGTTATGCTTGCAAGTTCGTGACATTTGGGGATTTCCACTTTATTTGTGACATCATGCATAAGTATTTATCATCGGCAACATGCTACTTCAAAAAAACTTAACCAGATATTTTGCAATGCATTTTTACTAATATCAGCTTGAAAAAGAGAAATTGTGTATGTTCTTGCATATTATTTGTTTAAACATCTATTTCCACAATGACTGTTTTACTCCTATCCTAGAATTTTGTGGAATTCTTGGGAAAATCCTTTCAGCAATGTTATTGACATCATCTATTTTTAGGTTATGTGGTGCTCTTTTTCTTTTTTTAAGGCCAAGAGTATTATTTTTTAAAGTTTGTATGTGAGCAGATTTTTTAAGACCAGAAAATGATTAGATATATTTTGATAAAACAAAACCTACGGAATATTGGCTCATAAAATAAATTTAATCCTATGGCATTGAATGCAAATTAAATTAAAAAATACTTTGATGCATTAATGACATTGTGACATCGTTGTAGTTAGCTTGAACGTGTTTAAATCTATAACTCTAGACTTTCCAATTGACCATTGAAAGTCACATTTTAAGATTAGAATAATTGTCATGATTGTTGTAGGGAGAATAAACTAGAGGCTCTCAAGAGCCTGTGTCGCTCTACTTTGGTTTTAGAAATCATGTAAAGATAGATAAAAATCATAACAGATACCCAAATAATGATTGAGGCCAAATTTTGATTAATATTGGTCCCGTTATTTAATAAAATATCCTGGTGGCCATCTTGAACAGTAAATCGGCAACAAAGTAGCAACACTTGGTCAGCACTTCATAAGGAACATTCATGCCATGTTTGGTTTCATTCCATTCAGTGGTACTCTAAAAGAAGACATTTGTATGTATTTCCCATAGGGTCCTATGTTAAACTAAGCCCCCCCCCCCCTAGCGGCCATCTTGGATGATGGATCGACTGCAAAGTAACAACACTTGGTCAGCAACTCATAAGGAACATTCATGCCATGTTTGGTTCAATTCCATTCAGTGGTTCTCTAAAAGAAGACAATTGTATGTATTTCCCATAGGGTCCTATGTTAAACTAAGTCCCCCGCTGTCGGCCATCTTGGATGATGGATCGGCTACAAAGTAACAACACTTGGTCAGCATCTCATAAGGAAGATTCATGCCATGTTTGGTTTCATTCCATTCAGCGGTTCTCTAAAAGAAGACATTTGTATGTATTTCCCATAGGGTCCTATGTTAAACTAAGTCCCCCACTGGCGGCCATCTTGGATGATGGATCGGCTACAATGTAACAACACTTGGTCAGAACCTCATAAGGGACATTCATGCCATGTTTGGTTTCATTCCATTCAGTGGTTCTCTAAAAGAAGACATTTGTATGTATTTCCCATAGGGTCCTATGTTAAACTAAGTCCCCTGCTGGCGGCCATCTTGGATGATGGACCGACTGCAAAGTAACAACACTTGGTCAGCATCTCATAAGGAACATTCATGCCATGTTTGGTTCCATTCCATTCAGTGGTTCTCTAAAAGAAGACATTTTTATGTATTTCCCATAGGGTCCTATGTTAAACTAAGTCCCCCGCTGGCGGCCATCTTGGATGATGGATCGGCTACAAAGTAACAACACTTGGTCAGCACCTCATAAGGAACATTCATGCCATGTTTGGTTTCATTCCATTCAGTGGTTCTCTAGAAGAAGTTCAAAATGTAAAAAGTTAACGCCGACGACGACGGACGACGCCGGACGACGGACGATGGACGCCAAGTGATGAGAAAAGCTCACTTGGCCCTTCGGGCCAGGTGAGCTAAAAAGTTAGTATGCCCCAATTTCTCTTTTTTCGAGATATTCATTTGTTACTTGATCTCAAATTTATTCTGTAATGTTCAAATACATAATACAATAGACCTGACCTATACATTGTTGCACATGTGCAAAAGCCAACGTCCAAGCCAAAGGTCACAAACTTATAAGCATGTCGACTTATTTTATGGAATCGGGTCTCAATACGAAACATAGACAGATTGACCATGTTTCTGAAGCTATTCATCGATAAAGTGTATCAGACTGTTTGCAAATAAGAAAAGAATATTTACATTCACAGTGAATAATAGCTGCTCCAAGGTTGTGATTTTTTGTGTCCGTTTGGAGTTAGGGTAACGAACTTCCAATCATTGAGGATATAACAATGTATGGCATCCTAATAATACATGCATAAGCAATATCAAAATTCTGGAATATAGTTACATGTGATGATATCATCATCTAGGCTAGGCAGGTGTTACCTGTGAAAGAAGACAAAGTCCTATTATTATTTTCAGATAACCAAATTTTCTGGTAATTGTATGCTTCACAACAGTGCAGCCTCCATCACCAGGGTAATAAGCAAATTGTTCATAAATGTCATATGAACATGACGAAAACAGCATCACTCTAAAATCAATACTGAAGATAATATAATGGCTTTGGACAAGGTACGTGTATCCATACATACAGATTTCCTGTGGCAGGGGTCACCACACTTCAAAGCTTTAGAGGGAAGTGACATGTCCCTGTAATATGACTGTCGTCGTACAATTCTATAAATTTGAGCTTTCTATTTGCACACGTCTTTTATATTACCTATATAAATGTGTAAGTAAAAACTTATTCATTGGGATTCATTTCTGACAGCTGACAGCGAAGAAGATGGAATGGGGAAAGAAACGACATTTCGACATCTGGTAAAAACTGTTCCCGTAATATGAAAGTATCGCCTTTAATGGAGTACCTAAATCTCTTCATTAATCATCAAGGCGTATATTTCACATGTACCGGTATGTGAAGTTAGCGACCGGTTCTTTATTCGATTTTAGATATTCAATATCATACTAGGCTCCAGCATCCGGTTCAATTTTTTTTTTTTTTTTTTTAGTAAAACGTAATGAAAACTTGATATTTACAAGAATTCTTAAAATCATAACCATCATTAAAAAAAGTAGATATGAAGGGGGAAAACTATTAGAAATTTTATATCTGATTCCATATTTTTATTACAAGAAAGTGTATGTAATCAAGAACCGTGAAGCTGCATTGATTGTTCTACAGAGCTACAATCATGAATCGATTTGCATGCACCAACATAAATCAAAGGCAACTGTAGTATACCAATGTCCAATTCTTATCATGACATTGTTACTGATTTGCATTACTGATAATACTTGAATGGCAGTACTGAGACACCTATCAACACATCTGTTTCATTCCGTATGGATTTCATGCAATTCCCTCGCGAATCTCTTGTATTATATGTCTCTGCCTCAATTATATATCTTAATATGTATGTAAAAATTGGTTTTAAGAGTTTTTAACATCGGGTTTCTACTAACGGTTTATCTAAGACTCCTATTAAATTCTCCTTGATATCTTTTAGATTTAATTTTCACATGCATGGATTCTTCTTAGACATACTTTATATTTTTCAATGAATAAGTCAGTTTTTTCCTTCTTTTGAAAATCGTGTATCTTAGATATTTGACACAATTCAATTATACAGTTTGCCTATGTATTTCCTTTGGTTTTGATGTTCTCAAAAGATTTATATCTATGGCTTATCAAACTTAGGTCACGTGCGAATCTAATGAAGTTAATAACAGAGACGCGTGTTGTTTAGATTGAAATTAACTGTTTAACTGTTGAACTGATTTACTACAACGGGGTAGGTACCGCATCTGGTGTACTATCAATCGCTATATGGATATAATCCGCTTTGTAGCCAGTTCTTTGGTTTTGTAATCAATTAAACGATACATTTTGTTTTATTTATAGTAATGATGCAACTTCTTTATTCAAAATTGACATTAAACTATAAACTTCTTATCTAACAAAGTTTGTCAATTTCTATCCCATCGAACCTGAAATAAAGGATACAATATATCTAGAACAGTCAATGAGGGTTGGTTGAGAACAAAACATTACGACAACAGAGATGAGTTCAGCTTTCCAATTGTGAACTTTCCATTTTTTATGTAGCAACATTCCAACAGCGTCTTGATATGAAGTTTATATCTTCCAGGTGATACGATATACCAGAGCTTGCATTTCCCATCATGATTTCCTTGATAGAGGGTTTCTGTTTAAAAGGAAGCTTTTAAACCAAGAGTTCCAAGTGTAGAAGTGAAATCCACCCCTTCGAAAATTTTACGGACGCCATCGGATATGTTTCAATTGGCGCCAGTCGTCCTTTCCTCAAAAATGATCTACCGATTTAGATAATCACCGGGATTGTACTTATACGAGCAACACGACGGGTGCCACATGTGGAGTAGGATCTGCTAACCTTTACGGAGGAACTGAGATCGCCCCGGCTTTTGATGGGGTTCATGTTACTCAGTCTTTAGTTTCTTTGTTGTGTTGTATACTGTTATTTGTCCTTTGGTCGTTTTTCAGATTTTTGACATTGCGTTGTCAGTTAGTTTTTGAATTATGAGTTTGACTATCCGCTTGGTATCGTTCGCCTTCTATAAAGTTTTAGTTTGATCTTTGAATTTTGTCTGTGTAGGTAATAACACCTACACCCTGTCGATAATTATATATTGGCATTGAAAAGGAAATACTTTTCTCAGACTGCTCATGACGTCTTCACACTGAACCAGCTTTCAGTAACTGCGAGAACCCAAAGATCGGTATTTTGTGTCTTTCGCCATTTATAGTTATTAAATTTCCTGCTTAGTAACGATCTATACGTTGAGCCTCTTCCAACTGATTTTGATATGTGTTATTCTATGTTGGAATGTTACACATCTGTCCAAGTAAGCAGGATGGAGATGCTGGGAGCTTACGAAAATGTTTTATATCGCTTCATTTTATATTTGCCTGTAATCTATTTGTAATTGTTTTTGTAACGAATGTAACGAACGAACGAACGAACGATTGAATGTATAAAATGAATGAATTTATCAAATTGTAATGAACAAATTATGTATAATAGTGAATAAAAAAGATCGAAAGGACAGACAAGGAATAAAATAAAAACAAAAAAAGAACAATAAACTAGTAAATCAACCAATGTTAAAACATGATAAAAATTGACTATCATGGTTAGCAAAAATATATCTGCGTTGAAATAAAGAAGCCACGATTTCAATTTATCGATCAAACCAAATGTGTTACTGCTTCCGTTCTTGTTTTACTGCAAAAGACCCAAAAATAGTTTTTAAAAGTATATACACGGTTTTCAAGATCATATTAATATATTTTTTGGTAAAATAATCCCTTCATTCAATGGTTGTGAATTGTTGCAGTTCGGCATAGAGAAGAAATGTTCGAAATGAGTTGTCCATGCACATTTTGATGCAGTGGCAGATCCAGGGGGGGGGGGGGGGGGGGGGGGGGGGTTCTGGTGGTTGAACCCCCCCCCCCTTTTTTTTTAACGATCAATGCATTTGAATGGGGACATATAGTTGGAACCCCCCCCCCCCCCCCCTTTATCCTGGGTTAGGACCCCCTTTTATAAATGGCTGGATCCGCCCCTGTGATGATTATTTTCTCTATCTGCTGAATAACCATCTCTTTCTCTTTTCAAATCTTTGTCAAATTTATCTACCAAGAAATCAATAGTAATATTAAAACCGATAGGTGGAGGTTTGTCAACCCAGAAATAAATAGTAATAAGACCGGCAAGGTAGGGATTTATGTACCCAGAAATCAATAGTAATAGGACCGGTAAGGTATTGGTTTATCTACCTAGAAATCAATAGTTATAAAACCGGTAAGGTAGAGGAAATGAATAGAAAGAGGACCGTTAAGGTAGATGTTTATCTACCCAGAAATAAATAGTAATAGGACCGGTAAAGTATAGGTTTATCTACCCAGAAATCAATAGTTATCAAACCGGTAAGTTAGAGGAAATCAATGATAAGAGGACCGGTAAGGTAGATGTTTATCTACCCAGAAATCAATAGTAATAAGACCGGTAAGGTAGAGGTTTATCTACCGAGAAATCAATAGTAAGAGGACCGGTAAGGTAGAGGTTTATCTACCCAGAAATCAATAGTAATAAGACCGGTAAGGTAGAGGTTTATCTACCCAGAAATCAATAGTAAGAAGACCGGTAAGGTAGAGGTTTATCTACCCAGAAATCAATAGTAGTATATATAAGACCGATAAGATAGAGATTTATTTACACAGAAATTAATAGTTATAAAACCGGTTAGTTAGAGGTTTATCAACCCAGAAATCAATATAGTAATAAGACTGGTAAGGTAGAGGTATTTCTACCCAGAAATTAATAGTTATATAAGACCGGTAATGTAAAGGTGTATCTTTTCAGAATTAAATGATTTGGTTTAGATAAGTCCGCTGCAATCTTGAGAACACAGAAATTAATGGTATTGGCAGGTGTAACAAAATGTGTGAAAGAACAATATTTACCAAGGTGTATTCAAATGTAACTTAATTGATACAAGTACATGTATCCTGCAGACACTTAATAACAATGTGCACGAATATTATAGTACATATACCCTGCAGACAATTAATGACAATGTCACGGCTTAATTAACATGTATCCTGCAGATGTTAATTGCATTGTCCGATGCTTGACCTAGTACCTGTATTATTTAACAGCTAGACTACTTTATAAACTATACCGACAGTTATGGGCTATTGTTGAAAGCTGATTGATTACCCCTCTGAACTATATAAGATCCAGCTTTGGACTAGAACGGCAGATTCCGCCAGGTCATCCCCTTGTGGGTCGGCTGGAATTAATTCTCTTACCATCCGAGTTACTCAGTTAAGAACGATACAATTCGCCAACATCAGAATTAGTCACGATCACGACCAGAGTTATAGTGCCAGCCAATTTATTGAACTTTCGAACAGTGAACTTTAGAAACATTTTTGACTTTGTAAATTACGTAATAAATTCTAATTATTCTTAGACTTCGTTATATAAGTCTATTTTTGGTGCCGAGACGCAAGATCGACCGGGAATTCCAACCACTGCAAAGATACAAAGGAACCACGTAAGTTGCAATTACCATAGCTTTCATTCTTTCTTATGGATAACCAAGATGCTTCTATGTCAGCGCAAAAAGTAGAAATAGCTTCCAGGGCGTAGCACATGAAATCCATGGGTTAAGGGAGGTTGTTAATTTGCTCGGCGATGTAGCCGCCGATTTAAAAGGCTTGAAATCAGCCGTTGGTTCACAAGATGTGGTTCACACGATGTTTTTTATAAGGTATTTTAAGGTCAATTTAAGCATTATGAATTCACATTTTTTTTATTAGAATAAAAGTTTTAATTTTTGGGGGGTATTTTTATATGTTGTTATTAAATAGATAGGATAAGTTATATATATGATACTTAATAAAATCATTTTTTGAAAGTTTGAAGAAGCTAGTGTTTCGTTTAAGATTAAATATGGTAAAAACTTGAATATCTGATACTATAGCATTTTTCCCCGTTAATGGTTGTTTTGGTTCATATTCTGGGTTGTTTTTTGAAAATACATTCAATTATTCTAGAAAATATATATCTAACGTAAAATTAGTAGAGTACCGGTATAAATAAAGGTTGATTTAGAACCTTTGGTATATGAAGTTAAGGGTACATTGAGGATACATATGTTTACGTGTTATAGCCATTGACGATTATGGTTTACGCAGTTGGGTAGTGTGTATGCACATTTGTTTAGAGAAAACAAAAAGTCTATAATTTTGGATTCCAACCCC